CGGATCTGTTATAAATTTAGACTACAACGCAGCTGATGAAAAGTGTCTATAGTTAAAAGTATGATTCCAACTTATGGAGTCTGTACTCCAATCGTATCCTGATTGTCGAAGCTGTCGCTTTCAATCTAATTTGTAAAAAAATGATTACTAGTGCTCAGCTCCTTTCAACAACTCTGAGTACTGAAACGTACTCTACAATAAGATGGCTAGCCTCATCAGGGGTATTGTCTAGTATGTGCACTTTCTTTCATGTTGTGTTAATCACTCATGAGTTTTCTATAATCATAGATGATGATATTGCTCTTTGAGGCCATATGAAGAACTCGATAATTTGTTTATTGCAAAAGGAACACCACTTCGGGTGTGTTTCTTTCGTTGGTACTCGCCCTACTATCTGGGAGTAGTACATGGAATTTTATTTTTTCTAAAGCTTTAATCCTGATAATTATTAGGCTTATGTATTATAGGCTTACATGCTTGATGAGCTATTTTTTCGCAGTCCAGATTCTTATCGCAAAACAAGTGGCATGACAGGCTCATTTCAAGTCTCGACAAAAATTAATGATATTCGTATGTGCAGTTATTTAGCTGTTTATGGAATTGTAGCCATCAGGGCTGTATATTCGCAAAGGCTGTTGCTTTTCGCTTTGTTATAGATGTGATATAAGCAAAATAGCAGCAAAAAAGAGGATATATATACTTCTACATTTATACTTTTATTTGCCTGGAGTAAAGCTGAGGCAGACGAAATGATGGTGATTAGGTACCTAGTTTTTGCAACAGTTTCCTTAATGCCTCTGTTGAACACGCTAATTTTTAAAATTTATCTATATGTGTGTGACAAATCTTTTCATCATTAAAGTGTTGCTTTCCATGAGAATTGTTTCTTCCCTTAGGTAGGAAAGAGACATTGGAAAAAAGTGTCTGATTACTATGGAGATTTTACTTGCTCTCACCAATTACACTGACCAAAATCAACCAGTGACTGTTTCATTAGACCATCATGTGGAGTTTCCTTCCAGTAAGTACTTTGTCAAGGAAAGTGGAAGTGGATTTGTCTGTGCTCATGATTATACAAAGGCTGTTCTTTTCGAGGTTGCAAAGGATTGCTTTACAATTGTCGGAGTATTTTTCTTTCGAAGGTCAGGGTCTCAACACGCCTTTAGTCTTGCAACCCTCCATGGTATTGCAGATTTTGAAGCATCTTCCTCTCCTAGAACACCGACTCCTTCGGCTGATACGCATATAGTTCTCTCTGCCAAGCACCTTATCGATCAGGTAGAATTTTTTTCTGATACTTTAGTCATTGGTACAGTAGGTGGATCATTGGGTATAATACTCTTTCGGGAGCCTAAACAACTCAAGGGCTGTTTTGTAGAGCGGAATGTAGGACTTAAGGGACCATATCGCTGGGGATTTGCTTGCAACTCAAGTTTGTGTGCTCTTGTCTCTAAAAGTAGCATAGCTGTATATGCTTACCAACAAGACAAACTTGATGCTGAACCTGAATATACAGCAGAGATTCAAGTTAACGATATATCATCGGTTTTATTACTGAAGCAACAAAATGGAGCGTATTTGAGTTTACTTATCCACTATACCACATCTCAGGATCTGACCTTACTTACACTTTCTCTTGCTGATCGTAGTACTTTTACACGTGAAACCATATTATTGCCCTGTCAACCGCCTAACTCACCCTATTTCTTGGCGTCAGAGCCACAATCATTTGTTAGAGGAACACAAAATGCACATATCGTGGCTATCTTGCTTCCAGGATGTATTCATTTTGGCACGATACGTGAGGCTAAATTCGAAACATATACTGCAGCACCAAATGAGCTGAATGTACCATTTGAGTTTGGTCATTGGAACACAAGACGTTCGTATTCTTCCAATATCAGTAGCTCAGATGATGATTCCAGCTCTTGCTTTGCTGCAGTGCGTAGAAACTGCATCTGCATAATATACAATGTGAAAGAAAGGGGAGACATGATTGAAGAAATATGTCTCACTCATCGGATAATTTTACCATTCTCGGGGTTTTGCTTCTCTCCTTTTCAAGAATCGAAAGGAATTCTGAGTGTTGGGCATTGTGATTTAGTGTGCTCGCCTGCTGAAAGCAATGCATCAGTACAAGTACAGGGCTCATTAAACGATGTTTTTTTGCCCCTGCAAGGGGTAGGGTTTCTTGAAGAGTCTGCATCACTTTTACTGCTAGAAGTAGTACAAACAGAGGTGGATTACGCGTTTCTCTGCCTTCTCAAGAATGGAGATTGCCTTTTGGCTCTTTATGGTGTTAAGGGAACGAAACATGTAGCATTTGAGGAAAAACCATATGAAGTGTCCAGCATGTTGTATTTCGTTAGAGAAGAGAAAATATTCTGTACCCTAGGCTTTCATGACGGAATGCTGAAATTGTTTTCCGAGGGGAAGCTTCTTTCTGCTGTTCACACATCACATTGTGGGCCAATAGATAGGCTCACTACCTTGCATAATTTTTATGCTAATTATACTGAAGCCATGTTTATTAGTATATCATCATGCATGGGAACCGTCTGTCTTCATTCCGCTGATGTAGGGGAAGTATCACAAACATTTGTATCCCCATCTCGCCCACTTACTTCCTGTTACTTGGACCAGAGCTCTGAATATCTCTTCACCTTTTCACGACCGATGGGAAATTTATGGCATCTACCAAGTTGTAGTTTGGAACGCACATTTATAGTTACTGAAGAATTCGATTTCCAAGCAAACCTGACCGATTTATTGGCCAAACCATGGACATCCTCTATGCGAATTACGACACTTAATTTTCTTGGAAGAAGACATTTTAGCGTTTACATCAATATCGAGAAACTCATTGAGAGCATGCAGAAAGATGAGAATCCGTTATTGAGCTTACCTCCATCTACTTCCCTGCTTTTAGATTGTTGTGTTGGGACTGATAAGACTTCACCGTTTCTGACCGATGCAAAACTTTATGATGTCTTGGAAGATACTTCGCTGAAAGTATCAGGTTCGTGCGATATCTGTGTGAACCTTGGCTCGATGCGTTTAGTGCATGCACTGTTTGATTCAAGTAAAGAAGCACAGATTGCCTCTGGAATATTAGAGATGAGCATGCGTTTGTGCAAGAACTTTTTCTCTAAATGTAGAGGCGAATCCGGTTCATCACTAGATTATCTTTTGTGCGACTATTTTTTTGCCTTCTTCACCGATCTCCAGTTCATTTCAGCGACTGCGCGGTATGGCTTTGAGATTTTTGTGCGTGATTTGACACCCGAGTCCGTTTTGGAATTATCACAAAATCTTCTGAGCGATAGAATGCTTACGTACCAGGGCTCACACAAGGTGGAAACATCTAAAATACCTTTCTCTGAAAACAAAATGTACGCTCTTGTTGGTGCCCTTCTCGTAGAAAGCGGAGTACATCTAGAACCAAAATCAGCGTGCGAGATTCACCAGCTTCTGTTGACACCAGTAATAGAGTCTGTTAGGCGATGGTTTGCTTCTCCAGAAACCGAACCCATTTCCTTTGATAGTTCTATGGCTCTTTTAGCCTTTTCAGAGGGATTTCCAATATTTGCCGAGGTTTTGTACACACCAAACTTGGTGCATCAATTGATTCAATACGCCATCAAAGGAACTTGTGAGAAGTCGAGGCGTGTGTGCATACAAGCCGTGTCGCGCATTATCTCTCACAATACCGCGAGGTTTGTTGATGACTATTGTGCCGAGCTTTCAGTGAAGCATCCGCGCTGGAATGCAGCATTAATTAAAATTTTTGAATTTTACACCGTAAACTTTCCTAACAAGGCCTTTTACGTATGTGATTACTTATTAGACTTTAGCATTAAGCTAATAGGTAAGAACTCTGCAGCAGATAAAAAGGATATTATAGTCGGCGCTTTTGTCCAGTTTGCCCGGACATTGGCATCCCTTCTACCTAATGTTTCTTTCCAGAATCACTCGCAACGCATAGCGGTTGGTACATCGGAGGGTATTGTAAAGGTTTATAGCGTCAAAAATGAGGGCGTAGCAACGTCCTTTAAGGCCCATTCGGAGCCGATTCTTTCCTTAGCATTTAGTAAAAACAAAACGGATTATGAACTAGTGGTCGTATCGCAAGGTATGAAATATGTGAGCATTTGGAAGACTCCACCGCAAAGCATATCCTTGGTAAGTCTTTTTACGAGATCTTCAAGAAAGTTTAGGCATTTCGCTGATGTTGATTTGCCAAATGTTGAGAATTTTGTTGCGACAGAATTGCTAAGCGTGCGATTCTGCCGAGTTCGATGGGTTTCCCCAGAGTGCATACAGTTTGTATCTCCTTGGCACGGAAAGATCCAAGTCGCAGTGTAATGTTCAGTACGTAAATAGATACATTCTATTGACTGCTGCAACACTTCAGTAAGAAAAAATACAGAAATTAATTTACTCCAAGCAACCTGACACAATAAGAAGTGATGCATTTGCCTTCTACATTGGAATTTATTAATAACCCATTTTTACTGCTCTTTTTTCTTGTATTCTTAGTGATTTTAAGCTTATATTAAGTACTAATGGGGCAGTCAGTGGAGAGTAGCCCGGTAGTAGCCGATGTGGAGCTAAAAGAGACTGAGGAGCTTCCTCTGTTAGCCAGAATTATCAACCACATCCTCACCCCTGGCTCCTCCTTGACGCCATTTATGTGGATTTCCTTTAACGTTATTATGTGTGGCTTGTTTTTGCTATGGCTTCTTTTTGTCATTTCAATGCCAACATGTATCCATGTGTGGGTGTTTGGTTTTTTAGGCTTAGGATTGACACTTTCAACGAATTGGTTTATGAAGATTGTATTCAGTAGCGGTATGAATTTTGCACCGCAACAGGCTAGTGACACTGAGAGGGTGATGACAGAGAAAAAGAGAAGTTAGTAATCACCCAGAAGGTGTTTGCTTAAACTTTGCGACATAACCGTTTTTCGATGAAACAAACTGTGTGATGCCCTTGTTCATAAAAATCACCTTTAAGCAGTGGAGGAAATCCAAAGGAATGAAACAAAAGGCTCATGTGCGATATCTAAAGCTAGGACTCGTGGAGGTGGATTACAATGCTGAGGAAAGATGATTTCTAAAAATCCATAGGATCTCTTTTTCTTTCTCTCTCTCTCTCTCTTTATTTTTATATATGCATATCAATCTTAGCAAGGGGAAAGAGGGAAGGCAGACACGCGTGGTCTGTCCGTCTATTGTTATTTTTATTATTTATTAACACTAGTTATTATTGTGCTCTCAAAGGTTCTGTCCCATTCCTCATGCGTCATGCCCTGCTGTCCCGATCCAAGGCGCTCTCACCGTACGCGCAGGCTCTCAAACACGTGGCCTTGAAAGGCGCCGTCGGGCTCGGGCCCTCGGCGAAGGAGGTGGAGCTGGAGAGGTACCGTCGAGGGACCCTCCCAGCGGACTACCGCCCACCCGTCCAGGGAAAGTGGGATGATACGATCGAGCGGTGGGCCTACGCCTGGCAGTACCCCGCCGAGGAGGAGTTTGAGGACCTTGTCGGCGCCGTTCAGGCAAACCGTGCGGTGATGCAGCGGTTGTTGGAGTTTGGAGAACGACTGTTGGGCTCGCCGCCGTCGGCGAGGCCGGGAAGCGGTCGAAACTCGACGGTGTACCGCGTTTCGTCGGGGCTGGGCTCTATGGAGGAGGTGACGCCGCTGGAGACATCGTATAACTACGCCATGCTGGAGGCCTCCGTCGAGGCCGCCGCTCATGCCAATGACAGCCCCCAAGAAATGATGTCTTCGGATGAATTTTCCAGAGAAACAAACATCCCCGTCGCGTACTTGGATGACCAATCAGAGAAGAGCAATGCGAGTAAGGAATTGGCACTTATTCTTGAGGAGAGTAGCCTGGAGTACACGGAGGACGGCCTCATTACTGTCATATCCGCTCTTGCTCGTCAACATTACTACGATGCCGCTCGTGCTATATTTGACTTTGCAAGCAATGTGGGTTTAGGACCTTCAGCAGAGCATTACAAGGCCCTCATGAAGCATCCAGCCGCTCACGGGGATGTAAACCAATCCATGGAGCTTATCGAAGAGATGAAAAAAAATGGTATTACACCCCGCATCGGCAACTGGCATGAGCTCATGCGCTCGTTTCACAATGCAAAGGACTACCCAGCTGTTTCGCAGATTGTGGACAACATGAAAATGTTCGCCAACATAGAGCCCAATGAGGTGACCTTTGTCTTGCAGCTGCGTGCGCTTGGAAAGGATACATCTCAAAGCAATTCCCTTGCTGAGGCGATTCAACTTTTCGACCAGATGGAGAATGTGTATGGTTACATCGCGGCTCGTCCTCATTACGACGCCCTTATGTTTTCTCTAAGTCAGAGCCCTCTTCCTGAGATGCGGCTGCGGTGTGAAGAGCTAGCACAAAAAATGAACTTGATGGGAATCAGTTGGAATTCCACCACCTATCTTAACCTTATCAAATCATCCCAAGTAGTGGGTGATATTGCCGCTGTCGAAAAGTACTTGTCCAAAATGCGTGACGATTGCATTCCCGTAAGTATACTACATCTTTCCTGGTCGGTACAGGCTCATGTGCAATTTCTCATTCGGCTCGATTATGAGGAGCTGAAGGAAAAGAAAACAGACATTGTATCCATTTGGCTCGAACATATGAGCACTTGTTTCGGAATATATGAGATCGTTGTGGGTAGAGGGTGGGGAATGCAGCTTCCTTTCTTGAACGCCATGCTGCGTTTATGCTGCCAGACCACCATTCTGTGCATGGAGCATCTTCCGTCAGACACGGTTCACATTGGCAAGTTCGAAGATCAGGCCAATAAAGTATGGAATGACACATTCGATGAGTGGAGTCTGAAAAAGGATGTGTACAGCTACGAGTGCTACATTGCTCTTCTAGCTCACCAACAACGTATCGACGAGGCCGAAAAGTTATTCCAGCAGATGGTTATGCAGGAGGATCTCACGCCAAGCCGGCGCACCTACGAGTGTCTTATCTTTATGCATCTTTCTTCGGGGGAGGAGGGCGGAGCGGCCCGCGCTCTCCACTACTTGGAGGCAATGGAGAAGTCTAGAATCCCAATTCGTCCGTCGCTTCTCCGAAAGATAGTCCAGGTCAACAACGCGGCTGGGTACAAAAGGGATATGAAGAGGAGGGCACGACGCATCATACAAGCACGCGAGGAGTATCTCGCTAAGAAGCAGGAGGGCCTCGCACATGAGGCGGATCTCACAATGCGCATGGAAGACGATGATACAGCTCCCGCCGTGGATCGCGATGGAAACCCCACCTTGCGACCGTTACCGATTCCGGAGAACACCACCCTTGCGTGGTGGGAGCGATGGAAGAGAGAAACGATCAGCAAGCACGAGCTATTTGAGAGTGAAAATGCCGACGGAAGTCCAAAAGGTGAATCCTTCGAGGAAAAGAACGAGGCTCTAGCTAAGATGGGCATAGACTCTTCTTTGAAGTCAATTGAGGATGTTCCCAAGGTGAGCCGGAACAGTTTACTTTCTAAAATCCGGGAGCAGGAAGGTGAGATGGCGGGCAGTCTGTGGGGGTTGGACGGAGGGGAGTTGTCGTATCCAAAAGATGGAGGTGGCCCACAGGGATGGGGAGTGCGCTTGTGGCGAGAGCGGGCGATTGTTCGCAAAGAATTCCAACGCGTACAGGATGGAAATGCTCCTGTGCCTGAATTTTCGGATCTGGGGAAATCTTTAAGGGTTGTGGGGGATCAATTAGATATCGAAAAGAGCGGGGCTAAATCCCCTGGTGAGCTTAGCGATTGGCGTAAATATCCAGAACACCGATACGATGACGGTCTTGCGAAACCCGTATCCGAGATCGCTCATCCAATACAGCCATCCGCCGAGCTGGTTTGGCAGGCGGAGCAAAATGACCCTCTGGCGCCATATAAGACTGACGAGGAGCTTGCCATGCAAACTGACAATACCTTTTATTCACAATTAGAAACCGATGCATTCAACAAAACTAACGCGGTTGTTGAGGTGCTTCAAAATAAGCAGGAAAATGAGATCGATATCGTCGGAAAAGGTGCCACTCGTCGCTCGAAGTATGATTATCTGCAAAAATGGAGGGAGATGTATCGGCATGGTACCCTTGAAGTCCCTGAACGCCCACTTCTGCGGTTTGGGCACTCCCCGGACGACCATCATGACACCATGGCTGCAACCGTCCGAGACTGGTATCGCCGTAACAGGAGGGCCCCCGCAACCGAAGATCAAACTGCGCGATGGAAGGTTGAAAATGAGAGAGAAAACGAGGCTACGTTTTCGATAAAAAATTTGAAACAAGCCAAGCGAGCGAAGCGCATAAAGCTGAGGCCCCATAAGCTCTGATTAATATCTACCTTCTCACAAATTTGCTCGTTAAGTTTCCCCCCTTGCTGGTGTAAATTAACGCGTCCGAAACTTGTTGGGCGCCCGTTTTTTTTTTTTTGGAGAGGCAGGCAATCTAGAATTCTTTTTCCTGAATTTCAAACTCTTTCCAATCCGAAGTCACCCCCATTTTATCTTGCTTATGATTCCTTTTTGCTTCCCCAACCCATTTATCCAGCATATCGATTTCCCTATATACGGGTATCGTTTATTAGTATTCGTGTTTTTAGTAGTAGTAGTATTATTGGGATTATTTAAAGGCTGGGCCTTTTGTGGAAGCCATTTGGATGTCACTTATGCAGGTGCTCATTGCGGCCGTCCAGCCGGAGGTGGTCCAATGGCGGCGCTACCTCCACCAAAACCCCTACGTCGCCTATCAGGAGGAGCCGACGGCCGATTACGTCGCGGAGGTGCTCAAGAAGATGCCCGCCCCGCTGGTGATTCAACGCCCGACGCCCAACAGCGTCGTGGCGGATTTGGAAGGCACCGCGGCCGGGGCGGAGGAAGGCCCAATGTACGCCCTCCGCGCCGATATGGACGCCCTCCCTTTGCAGGAGGAGAGCGGCGTCGCGTTCAGCTCGCAGCGACCAGGGGTGATGCACGCGTGCGGGCATGACGCCCACACCGCGATGCTGCTCGGCGCCGCGAAGGTGCTTTGTCAGGTGCGGGGGCGGATTCGGGGGCGGGTGCGGTTTATCTTCCAGCACGCCGAGGAGGTGATCCCAAGCGGGGCGAAGCAGTTGGTGAGTTTGGGGGTGTTGAATGGGGTGAGTATGATATTTGGGTTGCACGTCGCGGCGGAGTACCCCGCGGGGAAGATCGTCTCGCGCTTGGGGACGCTCTACGGCACGTGTAACGATTTCGATATCATCATTCGCGGGATCGGCGGGCACGCGTCCAATCCGGAGCTCTGTGTGGATCCCATTCTAGTCGCGTCGGAGGTGGTTACTAACCTCCAGACCGTGGTTTCACGCCGCGTGAGCGCGCTGAAGGCGCCGGTGCTTAGTATCTCCACATTCGTGGGCGGTACGGGGAGCTATAACGTCATCCCTGATTCCGTTCATCTGCGCGGCACCCTGCGCTGTTTGGATCGCGATGTTCAAGAGCGAGTGCCCGCTCTGATGGAGGAGATTATCGCCGGGATCACCAAAGCGCATGGTGCCGGGTATGAACTCAGCTGGCTGGTGCCGAACATCGTCACCTATAACGACCCCAAGGCGTTTGATCTAGCCATGAGCGCCGCCGTTCGACTTGTGGGGGAGGCTAACGTTATCAAGGAGGAGTCCCCACACATGGGGGTGTCGGACTTCTCTGAATATCAGACCATAATACCGGGTTGTTTATGTTTGCTGGGGGTGGGGGATATGGATGGGCAAGGCGCTTACAATCACAACTACAGCTCCCGATTTCGAATGAATGAAGGTGCAATGGAAATAGGTGTCAAGTTTTTTGTTTCCATGATTGCACACCTCCTCATGCAAACTGAGACGTCAGCAAACTCGTCTTGACGTATCTAGTTTTTCATGGGTGAATTGGTAGGATTAGGTGTCAATTTTGTGCTAGTTATTTTGTGTTAGGTTGAATAGTTTGACGATTTATTGTGAAGTGAAAGATTCATACGTTGGTATCATCCTCCAAGGAGATTCTAATTGAGGTACTCATATAGGGTGAGCTTGATTTGTTTTCAGCTGAGACTGAACATTTTTCAAGCATGGAAAGAGTATGTGCATTGGACCGTTAAAAGTACATTTTTATACTACATAATTTCCCAAAACCTTTCCGAGGACCAATATACGATGACGAAATGCCAGGAACGTTTTTGCCCTATTTTTTCTTCAGCCCATAGATATATATGGTGTTTCCTTCACGTGGTTAAGGATCAAATGGTATCCGTACTCACCCGCTCCGCCAACTCCCCCATGTGGAGGAGTGGTTTTTATTGAAAGGATCCCATTAGCGTTCGCGGTTCGTAGGTTTAGGCATCGACGAATAAAAAATATGCAACACGATAGATGAACATATGCAAATTCGGATGAATCAATAAATTTGGATCGCTTTGGTATGCGTGGTTTGAAGTTATTTTTTAATACTTTTCTTGTGTAAAAGTAGGTAGTAAGGAAGCACTACCATGCACTTATCGTTCAAGTTTTTTCTTCCGAATGTTGTAGTATTTATTCATACAATAAGCATACAGTACCCTTGTGTCAAACCATTAAATTCCCTTTCAGCAATATTTTATCGTACTAACCAGGAGCTATCTTATAGATACTTGTATGTGAAATAACATTTTTTTTCACATGGGGCACACTGAACAAGCTCCTTTAATTATGTCATGTATTTTTTGGAGTACCACAATGCGTTGTAATAGATGGAGCAATGATTTAATAAAGTTATTAGAGTTAGGTTAGTAATATTGGATGCACAAGTTAAAAACTAACAGTTCCTTGTTAGTTTTTGACAGTTTAACTTTCTCATTCTTTTGGCTCCATTGCAACCGTTTGATTACACCATATGTTGATGGAGCGAACTTTCTCCATTCTTTCACCCTTCGTTAAGTCCTTTCCTTTACGGTGAGTTTTACTCTGGGCTTTTTCCCTTGCAGTCGCTTTTTTGAAGCGATATTGGGTTGAAAAAAGAGAAATCGAAAGGAACCTGATGCAATACGTAATGTTTATCAACCTTTTTCCTGATCTTTAATATTTTAAACTCCTTATCCTTTATTACTGTTTCCCATGCAGAGTTTCTCACCTAAAGGGTCTAACCATTTTTTGAGCTTAGCATAACTCTCAGGAGAGACGAATTTCTTTTAAACAACTGTTCACCATGCAGTTCACGTTAGTACGACTGATTCAAGCAACTGCATTGCGACGAATAGCAAATCGAATTGGTGAGACAGAACAGCATTGGATGCAAACTATCGCTCAGCGCATCCCCTCCAGTGGGATGACCCTCCCCCAGCTTCAGGCGTTGTTGGAGGATGAGATGCCATCGTTTTCCCCATCTATCCTGGGGGCGAACACCCTCAAGGAGGCACTTCAATCGATGCCCGACTTACTGACGATTGACCGCGATTCCGACGGCAAGGAAGTTGTCAAGCGATGCGTCCCTGGTTCTTATTCCAAATCGAGCACTACTATGGATTTATCTAACTTTTTTGATTTACAAAAGGTGTACAAGTACTGTGAATCCGTCCACAGAAAAAACTCACAGAATCCGTTTATCCGTCTGGATGACGTCTTATTACGTACTGGGGTTAAGAATGTTAACATAGTGGATCATATACTGGATCCGTCGCAAAAACGACTCAAGGTGAAGATGAGTTTGAAAATAAAGCCCAAACGTCCTCCTCGGGCAGCCATTGTATTCGTAGACGGTGATGAACTACCAGCCGTTGCTGTAGATGGTATGTGTAGCGCGTTAAACCTTATTAAACCTGAGTGTACCATGCATATTATTAGACGCCAAGCTAGTCTTCCATTGTCAAATGTCGACGAGATTTCACCAGATGAAGTGCCAACATTCCTGACTATTGAAAAAAAAGCACACGAGTTGCGACTCCGAAACCCGGGCGTTCTGAAAGACATTATTTACATGTGCTCAGCTAAGCAGTACGAAAAATACGCACAGCATGTTGCGCGACTTAATGAGTTTCCGGATGCTGATGTGTATGTGTGTTGCCCTAGTCGAATAGAGATTGTACAGCGCAAGCGTTTCATACCTTTTCACCCAGACACAGCAGCACCTAGATAAGTAATTTTATGCCACTTAAAATACGGTAGAATCGTGATAATAACTTTTGTATGCCGGAGACTGTGAAAAAATAAGAGCTTGATAACTTGTGATACATTTTTTTTCCTATTTATCCTTTAGCTTAATAGTTTCTAGAAGCAGCAGAATCATGCTATCAAGTTCAAGGTTTATATTGTTTGCCCAACGTACTATTGTACTTAAGGCCAAGAATGTCTCCGAAGCGTTTGAGCGGTACACTGAAATTGAAAACACCAACGCTAACCGAATTAGGACTCTGAAGGAAGCTGGATTATTCAATGATGAATGGATCGCAACAGAAAAGGTGCATGGCGCCAATTTTGGTATTTACTCCTTGGACAGCGGGAAGACCGTTTGCTATGCGAAACGAAGTGGTATCATGTCGCCAAACGAACACTTCTTTGGCTACCACGTCCTCATACCGGATTTGAAGCGGTACGCCGGTGAGGTACGCGCGCTTCTCTCGCAAAAGTTAGGCTACTCCCCCAACGCCGTGCTCCTGAATGGGGAGCTATTTGGCGGCAAATATGATCACCCCAACGTTCCCAAGATTCGGAAAACGGTCATGGTCGGAGGGCGGTCTCGCACGATTAGCGCGGTCCAGACGGACACTTTCCCCCAATACAGCCCCGACCTTCACTTCTATGCCTTTGATTTAAAGTACAAAGAGGCCGATTCGGGCGACTACCGCACCCTCACCTACGACGAAGGGTTGGAGATTTTCGAGAAGGTTCCGGGGCTGCTCTACGCGCGGGCTATTATCCGCGGCCCGATGTCGAAGGTCGCCGCCTTTGATGTGGAGAACTTCCAGACGACCATCCCCCCACAGGTTGGGATGGGGAACTTTCCGTTAAAAGGAAACTGGGCGGAAGGGCTGGTGGTGAAGCACAGCAAGCGTGGGATGCCGGGGTTCGACCCGAAGGGGCTCACCATTCTCAAGTTCAAGTGCACCGCTTTCCAGGAAATCTCAATCGACCCTCGGCAGGGCCCTCGTGTGGATGAGATGGAGGGCATCCGGGAGGCTTCCATCGCCACTTCGGGCGTGCAGCTGCCCGAGATCGAGAGTGTTATTCGCGATCCGGAGCTGCTAGAGGCGTCTAAGCACCTCCTCAATCATATCTGCACGAATCGGCTGAACAACGTGGTTTCGAAGGTTGGCACGGATCCATTTGAAACGGGTTCGATGACGCCGAATGACCTTGCCACGCTTTTGGCGGAGGACGCGCTGAAGGATTTTTTGAAGGAAGCGAGCCCCAACGTGGTGGCGGCCCCCATTATTACCCGTAGAGATATGACCAAATACGTTGTGTTTGAGGCCAGAAAATTTGTTCACACGTCGTGGAAGGAGATTATCTCGCGGCAAAAAGAGCTAGAGGGATAGCGGGGCTCGAGTAGCAAGCCAATAGGTCTGAAGGACCATTGCCAGCGCGTCTTGTGTGTTGTTTACTTCACGATTTTCTATGTGATACAGCGGTAAAAGCTACAAAACAAGCGGTAGAAATATATTAACCCTTCCTTAGTTCAATTATATATATATATATATATATATATGATGCGTTTATTCATCACAACTTATGACATGCTCTTGACAAATACACCTTACCTTTTTTTACGATTAAAACTTTTTAGATATGAGTTAATATAGTCACAGTTACAGGCATAAACTTAGTAAATCTGAATTTCCACGACGGAGGTAGTCATGCCAACGTAGATCGGTTCGCATTATTTTGACCTTACCACAAGTGCATACCATTTTTGACTTCAAAGGGTTCCCCAGTGATGCGGTTGCCATAGCTTACTTCTAACAAGATGGATGACTTCCTTAACAGCGATAGCTGTGTTTCTCTTTCTTCGACATTTGATATATTGTTGGAGTAACTAGCGTCACCATCTCAAATAGGTTTGGTTCTGCGTTACGCGGTTATAATTAATCGATAAAAACGAATAGCACGACTTCAGGGTTAGCTGATACGAACTAAGTGCTTTGGAAGTGCATGAATTTCCATAGGAATCGTGCGACAACCTCAAATCAGGTAGTAAATGCGTCTTTGAGGACAGATGGCATTTCTATTCAACATGGAGTGGTCTCGTTCGGTAGGAACGGAATACGTTGCAGTTGCACTTACACAAGATTTGTGTAGACTGCCTCATGTTTAAGAGAAAAATTTCCTTCCCAGAGTGTGGGATCTTCTTCGATGCGTTCCTTAATAGGTTTCTTACAATACGATGAGGCGTGATTTATAGCATGTGTGCTGATGTCATATATATCAAGAAGAGAAAAGCAGACGTATGGGGGGAGATGGAACGTGTTAAATAAATTTTAGAATTCACTCTTCGTACCTTTCAGTGGCACCTTTGCGGCACTATTATATGCGCGTTTTGTTTGTAATTCATATCTTTTGTGCTTGGCTTTGTTGTATGATGACCCTGATGGCATTTTGGTAACTCATATGAGGTGCTTACCAATTCATGATCTCGCTGAGGGAATTACTTATTTTGTTGAGAGGGCTGAATATTAAACTTGTGCTATCGTAGAGGAAAACAATACTGTTTGTCTTTTTAGACATTCTACGGATTTCATTTAAACACACGTATAAATAATAAAACCATATACATCTTTAAGCATATAAAAATACATATAGCAACACCAAAAGGGTAATTTTTTTTTGAACCGAATACGTCTGCAATGGATAAAGAACTCGATGCGAACCTTACTAAGGAATGTAAGGCAGTAGAAACCACGGGACACGACCTACCTCTACGCACGCATAGCAATGACAATTTGCTAAAGATCGATACCCATGATCTGTATTCAACCGTTGCTGCCATCAAAAAGCTAATCGCGAAAGAGGCACCAGACGCAACTAACACAACTCCAGGGCAGCCTTTTCTGCAAGGGATAAAACGAATGAATAAAAATCCAAAGACGCCTTATCTTTTCATGGCCTTCGACAGCGCGGAGAATCGCCAAGCGGCCTTACAGCTTCTGCAGAGGATGTCTTACCGGGGAAAGCCATGGAATGAGCTTCCCGTCACCGAGCGAGACCTCAGCCTGACACATAAAGGTGGTGTGAAGCGAGCTCGCACGAACTCAGAGGGCAACAAGTTGACGGAGTATGATATCTACCCTATAGAGCGGCAGCTGGAGCTTAAGAGGATGCATTGTCTCTCGGTTATGAAATCGATCCTGCCCTCAAAGGTATACGGCTGGGAGACGTATGCTAAGCGGTTCTTGGGAATCCTAGAAAGTCCACTTACAGAGGGATACCGAAACCACGTCAACCTGTCTTTCGGCTTCGGCGAGAATGGAAACCCAACCATAGGGTTTCAAACGGGTTCTTTAGTGGAGGGAAAAGTTACCATCGAATCGGCTGTGGACCCGCAGAAAAATATCCCGACCATGAATGCGGTGGCCAGAGTGGTGGCTACATCCGTTATGGGTGTGTATGAAAGTTTTGCCTCTCATGGCGTAACGATGTTTGATAAAGTTAAGGGGAATGGGTTTTGGCGAAAGATGCAGGTTCGACATAACACATTAGGCCAAGTCATGATTGATTTGGAGCTTGACGAGGATAGTGTTCCCACGGAGACTTTTGAGGCGATCAAAAAGAGTTTGGTGCAGGCCCTGTGTAATCCCAAGGTTGAAGAACAGCTGCAGGAGGTTTGGGCCGCCAAAACTGCTGGCGTGATCAGCCTGCAATACCATAAACACACAGGAATTAGATCATTACCTGAGGATGCGCCGCGTATAGTTTTGTCTGGGTCTAGTACTCTTACGGAGCGTCTTTGCGGAACGCAATTGGAGATTAGTCCGACTGATTTCTTTCAGGTTAACACTCAAGGAGCGGAGAGGATGCTTGAAAAGATAGTTGAAGTCGCCGAGCTTCGTTCCTCTAGTACGCTTCTTGATCTGTGCTGTGGGACTGGAACAATTGGGCTGGTCTTATCACCTCATGTGAAAAAGGTTATTGGCATTGAGCTGGTAAAATCTTCTGTAGAAAACGCGCAGCGCAACGCTCAGCGAAATGGGATTCACAATGCAGTATTTCATGCTGGCCGTGTGGAAAATGTTCTGCCGACAATTATTCGCAACTTAACACTTGAAGAGCGCAAGGATATCACAGCCATTCTGGATCCTCCACGGGCTGGTGTGAATGGTACCGTGTTGAAGTGGATCCGAGGCACCTCAACGATTCGTCGGGTGGTGTACATTTCCTGTGAACAGAAGGCCCTTGAGCGAGACTGCGCCGGCCTTATGAAGCCTGAAACGAAGGCCTACCGCTGCGAGCCGTTTGAGGTAACTGCCGCCTTTGCGGTTGATTTGTTTCCACATACACACCATGTAGAGATGATAGTAGTCCTAACACGACGTGAAATAACGCCAGAGGGTGGAGCTCCGAAAGTCGGAGACGATGAACCGCCGACGGAAGTTTCGCAAGTGGAACAACTAAGCGTGAAGGAATAAGAATAACTGTTAACATTACCCCAGCACATAAGAGTGGACTAGTTGTCTGAAGCCAGGCGCACTGTTACGGGTTTAGTTTCATTTATGCCACTGCATCACATTTCTAAGTTTGATGCCTATTATGATAACCTTCACCGCTCTGTTTTTTTTCCTTTATTCAGTTTATCAGAAAAGGTAGTATTCGTGTTGAAAACGAAGTCTAGTACGTAATATCTTTTTTTCTTAATTATATTACCTAATAGTTACCTCCCCCCCCTCCCAAAAGGAACTCATTCTCATGTCTACCTGGGCCGATAAACTAAAGAAAAATATTGCTCTCCCTCAAGATCCAGCATGCAAGCCCGATCACGAGCCCACGATGATTTCACCTGGGGAGGAGACGAAGAGAACCCCTGTTGAGGCCCCTGCCGAGCCCGTCGTAGCCGATCCTTCGCCCGTGGCGACGTCGATGGACGCCGCCGCGCGGGAGCTGCAGCCAAAGCTGTCGTTCGTCGATCTCGGCCCCGTCGCCCTCCCGGTAGAGCTCGCGAGTTTCATCTCGGAGGAGTTCACCTTTGGCGAGATGCCCGTGAGGCCGCCCTCGGAGGAAATCGCGGCGCCTCCCGAGCCCACCGTCGAGCCTCAGGGGCCTTCCAAACCTGACGATGCCGCCACCACCCCTTCCGTTCCTTCTCACCCTCCTGCGAATGAAACAATTCGACGACCCCCGTCGCGACGTCAACCTCAACGAGGACGTTATACAAACCCCAATGCGAACCCCTATGGTAGGGGTCGATACGCGTCGCAGAGGAACCCCTATTATATCAATAATGGGTTTGGCGAGGCGTTGATTCAATACAACCTACGCCATCAGAGCTCACCACATCCCCCTCATCATTACGATCCGGATCATTCTCTCGGTGGGGTGGATCCTTCACGGACGCCGCCGATGTATCATCCGAATGACGTCGGTTCGTTACCGCATCCGCATTTACTCGACAGCAACGCGGTTGCGTACCGCCCGTCGTATATGTTCCATTCCGGACTTTATTATAGTGGTCAGTTGCAGCCATGGCCTCCTTATTATCCACCCCCCACAGTGGAGTAGAATTCGGAAAAGTTTGTATACCATCGAATGCAATGATGAAGATGGTCTGCGGTTTGAAAAGCTCCTGCGACCCCTTCGCTTTAACATAATGTCATTTTTATATTTTATAAAAAAATAACCAGCTAAATTGTTGTTAAATTTGAGATATTAATAGTGTAATAAGAGCTTACCCGTTGTAGGCGAATCAAAGTACGTCGGGTGTCATAATTTTCTCTTAATTCGCCAGTATACAATGTCTTTCAAACGAGAAAAATGCATGTGCTGAACAAACACTTTGGGTAGTTTTCTTTTATCTAGATATTTTTGACACCGAAAGGAAGTAGTATATTTCCCTTTGAAGGAATTCGCTAAATATAACATTGTTATAGTAGAAAGCACTCCCAGGAAAAATGTCAGCAGAATCGGTCTACAAGGATGCCGAGAGGAAGGTGAAAAAATTTTTTTTCAAAGACTATGAGGGTGCGCAGGAGCTTTACGACAAAGCTGCGACCCTCTTCAAGCTAGAAAAAAATTACGCTCGAGCCGGAGAGGCATACATGCACGCCGGAGATTGTGCGATGAGGATGAAAGACATTTTTTCTGCGGGAAAATGCTTTGCCGACTCCGCTAACGCGTATAAGAAGGTGGATATGAAGAAGGCGAATGAAATGTTGGATATGTCGGTGAAAGTGTATATTGATAACAACCAGCTGGATTCTGCTACTCGATTGATAAGGGATTTCGCGGATACCATCGTTGAGCAAGGGTCTCCGATGGATGCTATTCCCTATTACGAGAGGGCGATGAGGTATTTTGATGCGGAGGATCAAAAAATGCAGTCTCAGAAATGTATGATAGCCATGGCTAACATTTACGGTGAGAATGATAATTTCGATAAAGCTCTTCAGTACTATGAATGTATCGCAAGCAACATGGTATCCGGGCCTCTCAAATTTCAGGCGCGGGATTACTACGTTCGTGCGATGCTTTGCCGCTTAGCAATGGTTACAAATGATAATCGCTTTGAGAAGACCGACGAGTGCCGCGACGCCCTCAACCATTACCTGAGCAGCGATATTTACCTCAAAAATAGCCGGGAGTATGAGTTCTTGGAGCTCCTTCTGGATTCGGTTGCGGACTGCGATGTGGATAAGTTTTCTACCGCCACGTCGATGCTGCATGATATGCGGCAACTGGATGACTGGAAGACTCACGTCTTGCTTGTAGTGAAGCATAACATGGAATCATTAGCATAGGTAAAATATTGAGCTTCATATTGATATGATTGATATATATACATATATGCATATGTGTACATATATGTACATGTATGTAGTATTTTTTTCTCCGATATGAATGGGGGTTCTAGTTAATTTTATTAAAAGCTTCAGTATGCGTGCAAACCGACGATATACCGCGAATTTGATCGGTTCATACAACCGTTTTTGTGCTTATTTGTGGCTATATGGACCCATATGTTGCCTATATGTGCCCACAAAGAATACCGCATATAAATATTTTAAAGAGCTTCAATTATAGTGAACAAAATGTGTATTCTGAAGCCTGTTAATCACTTCTACCTTTTTCTCGATATTCTAAGGAAAGTTACTCGTTTGTGTATAGGGGAGGGGGGGGAGGGAAGGATGCTATCCTTCGAAGAGTTGTTTCAACGACTACTCGAATACACCCGAACCCCACTTAAATCCAAAGAGGAGTTAGATATTCTTGAGCACACCGCGAACGGCTTGATGAGGCATCACATGCTTCGCCTTGCGAGTCCGTGGGATGTCGCAAAGTTGATTTCCTCCGCCATTCGCTGCAACCTTCGCACACCAAACGCGGTTGATCTACGTGAGCTGTCGTTTCTTGGCTTGGTGTCCTGCCCGGCACCGGCGTGCCGCACGCTGGCGAACCTCCTGCGAGCTCGACAGTTTGATTTCCCGTTAGCCGACTTGATGGATACGATTCGACGCGACGTGCAGGCTTCCCAGATGTCCTGTAAAAGCTCCGATGCCGTGTGCGTGGTGCTTTCGTTATTGAATCAATGGCATCGTCTAGAGCTCACACGCCGCGGTGTGGTGGAGTGGTTTCATGTCGAGCAGTCCTCCCTTTTCGTGGGTCGTTTGCTATTCGGGCTTTCCCGTGAAGGCGCGACCTCGTCTGCTTCCAAGAACCATCTTTCGGATACCTTCTCGACGAGTTGGGTGAGCAACCTCATGACGTTCGCCCTTTGGGATCACGCACGAGTGCAGGATGCCGGACTTGTCGTCTCTTTCCTCACGAGGATGCTCTCCTCGGAGGCGGAAAAGTCTTCCTTGGCGGACTTCACGTTGTGTGGCTTGCGATCCGCGCCTGTGATCCAGCAGTGGGGGCATCTGCGCTTGGCCATTCTTCACCAGTGCCGGATGGAATTGCGGAATGGCAGCTTACAAAATCAGAAGGTCTGGGTGGATGCTGTCAAGGAGGAATTAAAAGGGGCTTTTACGCAAGAGCCCCCATTCCTCTCAGAGATGTTCCACCACCCACCCAGTTTGTCCGCCATGCAATGCACGGCGTTGCGGGAGCGGTTGGAGCAATCAAAAGAATATTTAGCCGACGCCGACCACGACGACGGCGGGGCTTTTAGGGCTCTTCTCATGCTTAGTCGTGCTTGCCGATCGTTCGTTTCCCATACCGGGAACCATGCGTACGTCGAGATCGCCGACGACGACCTCCGCGGTGTTGAACTTCTCACCGCCCTCGCGCTGCATTTGGGGCGGACTTCGGCAGCGCGTGAGCTGCTTGCCTGGACGGCGGCGTCTGGACGTCGTTCGGAGCACGTGCGGTGGCAACGACGACTGCAAACGTGGGAGGAATGTTGGGAAGAAATCCCTACTTGGCCCCTTCTACCCCCCCCTACAACCCATTCCATGCTATGGACGGAGTATATCAAGGAGGTCTCCGCGCGTTTGTCGGTTTCGATCGCGCTCGACGCCCTGGTGACGTCGTCCGACGTGCTCAAACTCCGCATGGTGTGTGAGGGCTCTCTTCGTCTGGATTGTGGTTGGGGGAAGGAGCTGCTCAAGGACCCTCTTGCGGCACCTTTTTTGGTGATTGCGCTCGCGAAGCTCGCGCATGGGTTTTTAAACGTCGGCGACGCCCCTATGGCGCGGATTTATCTCACGATGCTCGGTGCGTGTGTGGCGGGTTGCCCGACTCCTGAGGGAGTTCTGCTTTTGCTGCAGGTGTTAGGCCGCCTCGCGGGGGTGTTGGTGGGGTCGCCTTGTCTTTTAGTCGAGCCCCATGCCGGGATGGGTGTTTATCAACACTGGGAGGGCATCCAAAACGCCCTGGCGGGTGTTTTGCCCGTGAATCCGGAAATCACCTTTCGACTCCATGGGACCCGGTGGCGCTGCTATCAGCTAGGGGATGCGTTTCGCGCCCGACGGACCTTCTACCAACCGATTCTGCAACGCGAGGCGAAGGACGCCGGGCGTGAACGCGCCGCCGACTCCAATCCGGCGGGTGGCAGTTCTTTCACGGTCGTCTGGATTCGCCACGGTCTCCCCCCTGACGGCGCGGCCCTCACGGTGGAGCGATTGCGCGTGGAAAGGGGGGGTTTCCCGGTCGATGCGCCGGACGCGAGCCTCGAGCCGTGCAGGCCGTATTCCGTCCAGTCCAGGGCGCGTCTCGACGCGAGCGCGTTGGATGCCATCTCGCAGCGTCTCCACACCCTCTTTGGGGAGAATCGCGAGCAGCTGAAGCGTGGCGCCGCATCTGCCTCGCGTCGGATCGAAATCGGCCGTTGCCCCGGCGAATCCCTGGCGTGGGGGTTCACCATGCCCCCTTCCCCGGCCTCATCGAGCCTCAAACCGCGCGAGGAGGGGGAAGAACCCCCCCCCTCCCTTCCTTCCCAAACTCCTCCCCATCGCGCGAGCCTCGCGGAGGGGGTGACGAACCCAGCCGAGGAGTCACCCCTTCTTAAGGAGGCATGGTGGGCGCGACGACGTCAACTCGACGCGGAGCTCGCCGGGGTGGTAAGGGAGGTCGAAGACGCCTTTGGGGTCGCGCGATTCCTCCTCCCCGGGGAGCCCCCTCGCGGCCTCCGACGGCGGTTATGGCCGTTGAGCGAGCGGATCGTCGCGAGGATCGCGGCGCTTCGCGGGCCCCCCGCCTCCTTCACGGATCCACCCCCACCCGGGGAGGTTTCCCGGCTGACATCCCGGTGCGTTGCCCTCCTCCAAGGCCTGCCGTTTATCGCAGGGGAGGGGAGGAATCGCGCGGTGTGGTACGCGCGGGCTCACGTAGGGGACCCCTTCGAGCCCGCCTCCGAGCCCCCTTGCCCGGCCTGCGATCGGCAGCTTCAGCGCACCGCCGAGGGGCTTCTCGAGATCCTCGCGAGGCTGTGGGAGGAGGAAACGGGAGAAGCGAAAACGAAAGCGAAAGCGGACGAGAGGGGCGTCGACGCCGTGGTGGAGGGAGAGGGTTGGTTCGCGTTGCATCGAGAAGCACTGCGCGATCTCTGTAGGGAGGTGACTCGAGAGGTTTTTGGGTGGATGTACGATTATCTCGTCGAATACTATGGCCGAGAAAGCGGAGGGGGGCGAACAACCCCTTTTCGCCCGGATGGGGAGGCCGATGAAGGGGCGCACGTCAACCTTCTCGAGCTACCGCGAGAGCACCTCTATCTGGTCGTGGAGAACGATCTGCATCATTTTCCACTCGAAGGGATGGATGTGCTTCGCTCGCAGAGCTGCTCCCGGGTTCCGTCATTGGCGTATTTACGAGCGTTCACTCTGCAGGGGGGGATCACCCCTCCGGAGGATTGTTATGTCATGGAAGGGGCTCACTTTTACGTGGATTCCACCGCGGTCGCGAGTTTAGATAAGTTCGAGGCCCTCTTTCACGCCCACCCCGGGTGGACGGTCGATTATGCGGACTCAGCCAACCTCTCAGGGGGGTTGAATACACAGCCGGGGGTTGCGCGTGGGGGATCTTCCGCGGTGCTCCCCACCCTCCTGCGGGAGGGTCGCTCCGTCTACGTCTATCTTGGTCATCGCCGAGGGGAGTCGGCGCTCCCGCGTGGTGAACTCTACGATCGGTTCCCCTCTTCTCACTTTCCGGATGTGTTGTTGATGGGGTGTAGCTCCGCGCGGATGATAGGGAATGCGTGGTTTGAAAATTACGGCATGCCATGGGCCTACCTCCACGCCGGGGCGAGGTCGTTTATCGGCTGTTTGTGGGATATCACGAACGGGGAGGTGGATCGGCTTACCAGACGCTTTCTGCGCTACTCCACGAGTCCGACGGTGGGGGAAGGGAAGGGGGTTTTATCTGTTGGGGAGGCTCTTAGTGCCGCGCGGGAGGCGTGCAAACTTCCTTTTTTGTCTGGCGTGACGACTGTGATGTACGGCGTGAACCGCCCATTTTCTTCGGGAAACCAAACGGGATAGAGGTTGAGCGATAATCCTCTTGAATCATGTGGTTGTGATTCATCTCAGGAGCGCGGGGCGTTCGTGGGTATCACATCTGGAAATCGGAGGATTGTTGTAATGCGACACCAAATCGCTTTTCCAGCGCACTCAATCGAACAAACCCAAACCCAAACCTCATGGTAGTTTAAATATTAGTCCTGTTCCTCGGCTGATCTGATCGTTAGTTTTTAAGGTTAGGAGGTCTATGCTATTATCTTATGTATTATCCTGCTTCTCATTTCTTCTTTCTTACAATTTTTTTTTTGTTTTTTTAATGAAGAGTATATAGTCTAACCTATTTCTGTCTTCGAAGAAGGATCCACTCTTTTGCATTTCGTTTACGTGCTCTTAGACGAATTCACCCTATAGGAAAGAGTTCGCTCGCTTCTGGAGAAGGAAATACTGACACGAATCCGTATCCTATTTGTTTGTTTCAATGTCTAAAAAACGCGTGCGTTCGGCATCTTCTCACGCTGAGGCGGACGAAGCTAGTACCCATAACGGGCGTGGCGATGTCGGGGCCGCGGAGGCGACTCCGGCCCTCCCCAACCAGGAGGGCGGGAAGGAAAGCATGATAGGCGAGTTTCACCCGAGACGCGCCACCACCAATAAACGCATGACGAACCGCCAAAAATGCCTCGTGTTGGGGGGTCGAAACATGTCGAGCAAGGATCGTCACCTGCTGGTGGATCTCCGCGGGCTCATGCCGCACGCCCGCGCGCATGCGAAGGTCGGTCGAACCCACACCCTAGGCGACGAGCTCATCGAGCTCAGCGGCCTGCACCAGTGCAACGGTGTTATGTACATCGAGCCTCACCGCAGCGATATTAGCTACCTCTGGATCGCACAGGCCCCGAGCGGTCCGAGCATAAAGTTTCAATTGTCAAACGTGCATACCGCGGATGAGATTCGTATGGCGGGAAATTGCCTTAAGTTTAGCCGCCCCTTGCTTCACTTCGACAACGAGTTCGAGGCTCAACCGCACCTCCGTATCGCGAAGTCGTTGCTGCACATGGCCTTCAACACACCGCGTTACCATCCTCTCTCCAAGCCTTTCGTGGATCGTATTATGTCGTTTTTCTGGCTTGATAACCATATCTGGATCCGCAATTACCAGATCGTACCCACTGATCCCCCGTCGCTGCTGGAGATTGGTCCGCGCTTCACCTTGGAGCCGGATTCGATTTTGAACGGCTGCTGCAAGGGGAGCGTTCTGTGGAAGAGCCGCACGGCAAAGCCGCCAACGGAGCAACGGCGTAGTCGGCAGCTCCGTCGTTTGGAGAAGCAGAGCGCGAATGAGGTGATACGGGGGAAGTCGGATACTCACCGCGCACAACACCCGCAGCCAGCGGTGGATCCTCTCGATTTGGTGTTTAAGGATTGACGAACAAACCCACTTATAGATAATAAGCAAACAGAGAGTACGAGGCACATGAAGTAAGAGTGGAGCTTTATTGATTTATCTGAGCGAGACGATCTAGTCAGGCGTGGCGTAAGTTTCATAATAACAACGCAACTAATATTTGGTTAATAATGAGAAGTTTCTCTATCACGCGTTTAAGAAGGTGAAGCAAGGGTATTATGACCCTTCTCTAACGATTGCTATCGATGGGCTAGAATTGCTTTCAACTTTTTCTAAGACAACATGTTCTTTACATGGTATCCCCTGTGCTTTTCTTTGATTTTTTCTATATTTCTTGAGGTAAAGCATTAGAAATCATAGAGCTTAAGCCCTTAAAAACTTCTGTGTTCTTTTGATTTTTCATTCCCAACCATTCTTTTTGTTGGGCGCTCACTTTTCACATAGAGAACGAAAAGGTTTGCATTTTTTTATTGTTTTAATGGTGTAGCCGTTGCTATGCAGGTAGTTAGTGATTCTCAAAGGAAGTCGTCCAAGGGACGACTAAAAGTCGAAAAGCGTATTATTAGCTTCGTTTATCTTTGCACGGGTATACAATTATTAATGGTGTTTGCTTTCATTGTTAAAGTTACCCTAGGTGTTAACCGTACATTTCAACATTCGATATTCTCTAACAACGACTATGCCCTCAATCCTGTCCTAATTTATAAGACCAAAACCTGTAACTACACGACTGTGGACGACTTACAGGCATTTAACGGTGTATCTATAACGCTAAACGCTGAAAACGCCAACATCGTTTTTGCTGACCATGCGCTTGAGATGAAGTCACTATTCGTTTTGGGCCTAATTACCATGGCCTTCGGTATTATAAATCGGATTTGCATTGATATAGCTTTTTTTTCCCTAAAGTTTCGCAATATGGATATCAAAAAGGACATTTTCTCAGCGACGGAGCTCCTTCTACTTACGTACTTGGCACAGGCGGCTGCCTTTTCCGAACCACGATCAGCTCTGCTTAGGAATTATCTCCACAATTGTGGGGTGACTTCGGAGAAGTATCTGCCTTGGGTATCGGTTTCTGGGTTATATGTGGTCGTTGCGACTGGATATTTTACCTATTTGGTAACACTAATAATCTACTTGAGGAATACTTTACCGAAATACGGTACCATGACACCTGAGGAAATCGAGGAGTACAAGGCCTGGTTACGCCTGCGCAAAGCTGAGGCTGAGCAGTCACGGATCTTCATTGAACAAGCCAAGAGGGCTCACGCCCGGATGTTTCTTTTGCGTAACAGCACTATGCCAACGGATTCGTCAAATTTACGTAACAACCTCCTTCATCAACCGATACCCATGAACTCGTCCATGCCGATCTACGTGCCTCCTATGACTTCGGAAAATGTGAGCATTGCAGAAACGGGTTTAGTGCATCCGCATTATGATATTTACTCCAACCCAGGTTCGGCTCAAAATTTACCACCACCACAAATGTTTGGTGCTCAATCGGATTTCCTAAATTATGCTGATACTTCATATACTTCATATTTGCACCAGCCTGGAGTGATTAATAACACTTCTGGCGAATTTCCTCGGTCATCTGCTTCCAACACTCAGCGTCAGCGTAATACTCCCCCCCGATAGACCAAACCGAAAGAAACTTCCATGAGTTGATCTTTGGAGTACTGTGGAATGCCATTAGGCCGATTGATATGGGACACGACCACACGTTCTTCCCAGGGCCCTGATTAGATAACGTTGAATTTTTTATTGGATTTCACTTGTTCTTTCTCTTTCTGACTTCTTATTTGCTGCGTATGTCTGTACAGATACGTTCGTTCATTATTTCCTCGTTATTAGAGGAGTTTACTGGGTTTGTAAAGTGTACACATGTACATCCTTTTCTCTTTTGTTTTTTTCCTGTAAGCCAGTTTTACTAGAGGTTGATTTCTACTATTTGCCATTTCAAAGAAACAAAAACACGTCAATTTACATGCACACGTTTGTATTTAATTGTGATCAAGTTGTTTCTGTCTTATTTTAAACTTGATCACAATTTTTATTTTTATTGGTAATCTATTATCGCTCTCTCTATACATATATTTCGCTTTCTCCGATTTCTCTGACAGTGGTAAACACAAAGACATCCATGTCCGCTCAGCCCGAGTACTTCCGCACCCATGCTGTGGATGCCACCATCCAGCATGAGAAGGCCTACCAGCGCCAGACGGCCGTGAATGAGAATATTCACCGCCCTAACAAGAAGCACGTGAACGAGTCCGGCCATATCCGCTACTCCAAGAAGATCGGTCTCGGCTTCAAGACCCCCAAGCTGGCCAAGAACGGCAAGTACATCGACCGCAAGTGCCCCTTCACCGGAAACGTGGTGATCCGTGGCCGCATTCTCCGCGGCGTGGTCCACTCCACGAAGATGAAGCGCACCATCATCATCCGCCGCAACTACCTGCACTTCATCAAGAAGTACCAGCGTTACCAGAAGCGCCACAAGTCCCTCGCGGTGCACTGCAGCCCCGCCTTCGATCCGAAGCCCGGGGATGAGGTCATCGTCGGCCACTGCCGCCCTCTCAGCAAAACCGTTCGCTATAACGTGCTCGAGGTGGTCAGCAAGACGGCCGCGGATAAGCTTGGCAAGAAGTTCGCCAAGAACTGATGCGTCACTTGTTTTTACCCATCATAACTCGTTTTATTGTTTAAGCTAAAAAATTCTACCATAAACAGGTTTATGGTTTGTTAAAATTCTTGTTCGCTGTGTGCAAATCTGCTTTTGGAAACGAGTGAATCTCGATGTACATGCTTCTATCTTCCATATTTGATCGGTTCTTATGTCCGAAACGGTGTCATGAGGATACAGTATACCAAAAGCTAATTAAAGGCGTAAGATTTATCCTAAAAAGTTTAAGCAAAATGAGCGATAGATCTATCAACGAAAGGGTGCGAATGGAATGGTTTCAAACCCCAGAATGCGTCAATCTCACTTTTTACGTCAAAGATCGGTCGAGCGACGACGTAAGCGTCATCCACCACGACCGTTGCCTTGATGTGACGATCAGGATGGATGGCCATGACCATGAGTATGTCTTTTCTGTTGACCCTCTCTACGCACCCCTTTCCGAAGATCCGGCGAAGGTGAACGTGCGACCGATGAAAGTCGAGGTTTCGTTGAAGAAACTCGTTCCCCGCCAATGGGCCACCCTGCAGGGGGTAGCGAACGCCGTGCAAACCGCCCCCGAGCCCCCGAAATCCAATTCCGCTGCGGATCTCGTCTACCCGAACAGTCGCGGTAAAGACTGGAGCAAGGTGGCGCTGGACGTCGAGGAGGATAAGCCAGAGGGCGAGGCCGCCCTGAATAAGTTATTCCAGCAAATCTATGGAAACGGCACGGAGGAGCAGCGGCGGGCGATGATTAAGTCCTTTACGGAGAGTGGCGGGACGGTGCTGTCGACGAACTGGGATGAGGTGGGCGCGAAGAAGGTGGAGGCACAGCCGCCCGCCGGGATGGAGGCCAAACGAATCTCCGATTGAGGTCTGACGCGGGAGTGGCGGGAGGGCCACGCTGGGGATGGCGCTTGGGTTATGCTCTTCCTAGCCACCAACTATTCTGTGTGTTCTTCTAAGGTTTTATGCTTTTCCGTTTTCCATTTTTATTCGTTATTTCTCTCTTTCTTTCTCTTTGTATGTATGTCTGTGTGTTGTTAAACGCAACGAAATAGTCACACCGTCAATAAAGGAACAAGCGCACACTTTTCTTATTAATTCTGCATATACGGGGAGCTTTTTTGTCGTTTTGGCTTCTTTTCGCTGACTTTTTCCTTTAAGATGAGAAGCCGGAATTGTATATTTAAGGCGAACTCATAAACTTGTGTTTTTCCTTTCTTTAGTAGGAATGAGCTTTCAACACACAAGTGGAAATTGAGATTCTAATGAAACTTTATTATTATAGGCCAGTTAATTATTCAAAAAAGCGAAACTAATGTTGAATCATCTTGAGAGCACTGAATCAAAGGTTTCATAAAACATTATATAGAAAAATGAGTACGTGTCAAATGTGTCTTAATGGATTGCTTTACTTCCTTTCTTTTGTCTATTTTGCTATCCTGGAGTAGTGCTTTACAACAACTAGCAACAACGGCATTTTGAGGCGTTCTTCGCGTGTCACAGAGGTAGAAATACATTCTGTTGTCTGCTCTTTTTGTATTTGTTGTGTGATTTTCATGATTTATTCGAATATTTATTCCCCCAATACAAACGTGCATAGAAATAGCAATGATTTCTATTGAAGCCTTTGAGGAATCTTCGCCATGCAATTTTGAAGAGGAGGTAGCCTTAGGTTACTTTGCCGATCTTCGGCGCGACTGCTCACCAAGTCAGTACATTGATATCTGTCATAGGCTGTGCAGCACTGAAGGCGTCCTGTATAACGGTCTACGCTCCATTATTTGGAGGGATATGGTACTAGGGCTAGACGCTTCTCCTACAGTTCCTCATTTGGTCGATAGCATCATTTCAAGTTCACGCCTACAAAGTAGAGATGACAACAGTAACGCTAGTCATACTTCTCGCGCTCGTGGCTCTTCCTGCCAAAGTGATGTGGCGACCGAACGCGCTGCGGCATCAGTGTGGGACAGGAAGGGCAGGCCAGTGAGACCACAAAGGCGGTGCGCGTCGACGCCAGCAGTGTTCGTAGCCCTACGAGGTGGTAGGCCCATCTCCTCACGGCGGCGCTCAACCTCACAGCTCTTAAACCCTTCTAGAACAGTCAAGGACGACCCTTCATCTTTCTATTCAGTGAATGACGAGACTGTTACTTCACCTTTTTTCTCCTTGCCATCAAACTGCCAAATTCGTGTTGTTGAGGCAGACATCAAGCGCTCGCTATGGCTATTTTATCCAGAAGAGGAGCGACGTAACCGAATGCGAAATATTCTGAAGAGAATCATACTGCGAGTCCTTGCCAACAATCCGGATAGGCATTATTATCAGGGTTTGCATGAACTAATAGGCTTCATCATGTATGTCCTCTCACCACATCTTCGAGCTGAGGAACTAGTATCGATTTGCGAGGGCATGCTACTAACCCGATGGCGTGCCTTTAGCGAAAAAAAGTTGATGCATTCCGAAGCGCTGCTTTACGCAATGCACGCTGTTATTGCAGAAGAGGATACATCGCTTGCCATGGCTCTGGAGAAGTGTGGAGTAGGACCAGAATCCCACTACGCTGTCTCGTGGGTTATCACATGGTATGTGCACTGCGTGAAGAATATAGAGGTTCTTGCCCGTCTGTTTGATTATTTTATTACGGATGAGGATGGGATGGCGGTGATTTTTTTCACTGCTGCGTTTGTTCTAAGCCAACGTAAGTTCATACTCAACTGGATCGATGAGGCACGTTCTGAACTATTATCCAGCGGATTTGATGAGGCAGATGACATCACAGTAATGGCAAAAATTTATTCACAAATGGCTAAAATGCCCTCTGCAGCTCTTGATTCAATGAATCCTGATGAGCTCAACAAGCTAATCCAAGAAGCGGCGCGAATGAGGGCAAATTACCTGAGCATAGTACATCGCGAGCAGGCTAACTTCATCAACGGTAGGGTCTGCAAGTTGGGCTTTTTAGCCAACCAGCGTACCCGGAATGCGGCCCTAAGGCTGTTGTGGTTTCTACTTCCACGTGAGTGGCGCCACCCCGTGGTGAACCGAAACCTCATGCAGATGGTGCTTCTGGCCGGAGCCGTGGCGTTTATGACGGTGGCTATAGTTTGTAAATACAAAGCCCATTGAGTTTCAGATACCTGTGTGATAATGGGCATTGGCGCAGGAGTCGTATTGCCACTCGCAAAATTGTAGATTTGGGATAAGTTTGGGATGTAATGGCTAACAAGACTTCAGTTTAGCGTTTTCGTTGCGTGCTTTTATTTTGTGTTTTATTTTTGCGTTTACTTACTATGTTTGCTTATGCAAACTATGCTTTTCATTTTACTTGGAACGATTCGTAGAATGCTGAGCAACTCTTTTCTATTTACATAAAAAAACATCTGTGTCAAGCAGAAAATTTTGCCTGATGCAGGACAGAAGACTTTGTTGTACGATTCTATGCAAATTACTGTTTTATTTACCACATTTTCTAATGTATTACATTGATGGTGCTGATTCTCCATACGCAGGCGGAATCTTATCCTAGCCGTAGGGCGAGTTCATAAAATTTGAACAGAGTAGTACCAGTGGGAAGTAACGGTGGTAAAATGACGCAGGGCTACACCGATTCGCTTACACTAGTCGCAACAGTGACGTGGTGGCCTGCGTTTGACCAGATTAGTCAATTTCCCCTCAGCAGCCACCAAAACTTTTTCTCTGCCATGACCAACAGCCCTGCTCCTCTTCCTCGTGATACGGCCGAGACGAGTCAAACGTCGAGCTATGCCCTCTCTAGGCTAGGAAGAAGCGTGTTTCTAACGGCACTTTGGGCATACACCGCAGCAGATGGGGAGGGTGAGGCCGAGGCCGTGACGGTGCATAACCCTTTCACCGACAAACAACTGATTCTGAAAGTGCATCCCCACATCTGCCATGCGCTGAGGTGGAAAGAACAAACCCCATGGAGGCTGGCGCAGGAGGGCCGAATACGGATCTGCCCCTTGCCGATTTTAGACTGGGTTCACGAGATTTCGTGTGCGCCCGAACCTTCGGCGTACATGACACTGTGGAGTGAGATCTACGAAAAGCATTGGAACCAATTTTGGGAAGGCTGTAATAACTACGTTCGTCAGCTCGCAGCGCAGTGCAACCACGGTAGCGAGAGTGGGGGCGTATACGACGCGGTTCCTATAGATCACTACTCGTTACTCGTTACTGGAGAGCCGGGGTGTGGAAAACGCGCGCTTCTTGCATACTTCGCCTATCGACTTCCTCACCTCATTGAGATATCCCTTGAGATCGGTCAGGTTCAGAGATCTGTGCAGTACGTGGTGGAGCGCCGCTCACTCGATCTAGCTGAGGTGCTTACCCGTGATGAAGAGGAGGGGATACAAATCGTGCGGACGGCCCTGCGGCCGCTGCCATACGACGCGAAAGGGTCTCTGAAACCTTTGCTGCTTCTTTGTCTGTACAATTTCGACTTGCTGCTTCAGTCTTCGTGCAACTCTCTGACGGATCTTGTCAGCTATGAGTTAAGTGCTTCTCTTGACGAGTTGAATGCAAGCCAGTCGGCTATCGTGATTTGGAGCACATCACATGATCCATCGCTTGAGGTGCAACCATTACATCACCGCCTGGCCTTCAACCGGATATATCTTACTCGGCCGACTTCTGACGAGCGAATGGCATGCCTACAGCACAAAGTCGAAGCTTTGAGGGCGTCTCAGCTAGGAAACAGCGGAAAGCTGCTACCAATGCTTAAACATCAACAAGATATGAATGAAAGTGAGTGGAGTGAGTTACTGCAATCGCTGAATGAGAATTTGGCAAGCCTTTCCGCCCCTGCGGTTGTAGCTATGGGGATGGCGGAGCTCGCGGAACGCCTGCAGGAGGCCGCATCCGAGAGTGCGGATCGGGGCAACGAGGCGGAGACGGGTTTAAGCGCTTATAGCGGGTTGTTTAACATGGATGCCGCGATCACCAAGTTGGAGGAGCTGGCCGTCTGGCCACTACTGCACTTGAAAACGCTGCGAGCGTTTCACATCCCGTGTGCAAAGGGTGTACTCGTGTGTGGGCCCAGCGGCAGTGGGAAGACGGCGCTGCTCCGTGCGTTGGGCAGTCGTCTTCGTGGGGTTCGTGGGCTTCACGTGATGCTTGTCAATGGGCTTTCACTGATTGAGAAGGAGGTGGGCAAATCGGAGAAGAACATCGCGGCGATGTTCGCCGCCGCCCGCGCGCACTCCCCCACGGCACTTTTCCTCGACAACCTCGACGGCCTGGCTCCTCCGCGCTGCCGGGAGTCGAGCGAGACGACGACGGCGACGGATCGAACGCTAAGCACTCTTTTGACGGAGATGGACGGCGTCGGCGGCGACGCGAATTGCGTCGTCATGCTGATCGCCTCCGCATCTTCTCCAGAGAGTTTAGACCCCGCGGTGCGTCGCCCTGGAAGACTGGATGTGCACGTGACTCTGGGCTCTCTTAGCCTCGAGATGGCTGTAAACATCATGGTGAGCCGACTTTCTACCTTCTGCGCGAAGTTGCTAAAATTGCAGTTACGGCAGGGTGAGAGAGCCACAAACACTGATGAAGGCGATAATGGAGGTTCTAATTATTTACTTGATGATCAGTTTGAGGCGGTAATTGAACAAATCATTGCCCGACGGTCTTGGGAGCTTTTCGAAGCGCACACTACCAAGATTTGTACAGAACTTTCTGCGGCTGTCGTTGTGGCCGCAGCAAGAGAGGTCATGCTATCTGTGTTGGAATCACATTCCACCAATGTTCCTTCTTGCGAAGAAACGATGCTACCTGTCCAAGTTGTTGTGGATAAGCTAGCCAAATGTCTGGAGGTTGCATTCGTGAACCTACTTTCGCCGAGCAATGCCTATCAATCACGGCTCTTGTAAATGGTGGTAACAAGACAGAAATGTGTCTTTTACAGCGATTAAATAACCAACTCATGTGATACTTTAATGACTCGTTCTCCATTCTACGTATAGTTCGAGCATGAGGGAATGGTAACGACTCTCGCTGAGGAGCTCTCGTTCATGCTCCGTAATATGACTTTTTTTCTTCTTCACTATTTTTTTGCATTTAAAATAGAAAAAGGGGAGTTTCACTTGCAAAAGGAAGAATATTAAAAAAATTTCGGAGAGGGGAGACCACAAAGGAAGGTGGTTCTTTTTTCTCTTTATGTGTTTGTTACTTTTTTAAGGATAGACATCGATGTACAAATCTCAAGAAAATGTTTCCAATTTTGGCACTTCACTTAATAAAACGTCACTACGAGAGCGTCTGCGTGCTCGGCATGATAATGCACTTAAGAACTTTAGGGAGTCCATGAAATCTCTTCATGAGGGTGTTGATTGTGCTCAAAAGAAAGTTGCCCTGCGACTTAAGCAGGAATTAGATAGTAGCCATGCGGCGACAGCTGCTATTCTCGCCGCTGAGCAGCACACAGTGCAGGAGCACGGGGAATTACTTAATGAACACGCCAGACGGTGGGAAAACGTCTCAGACGGTAGTGTACTTTCTCCGTTCGAAGATAGCTTCTTTAGCGCGGGAGACACCAATTTTGATGCTGGCATGGAGCGTATGAGAGCAGAGCGATACCGTTTGCTAGGGCAAGCGGTGAATCTACAGAATGAATTTAGCGCCCGAACAGTTTTGATACAAGGTTGCATTAAGGAGATGGTGGAGCATGAAACCCATAGAAAGGATGCCGTCCAATCTGCCCTTCGCGAGCTGATGCTTTCCTTAGCGAAGATTAGTTACTGCAACGTGACCGCCTCCCATGTGCTGGCTCAGCGTGAAATGCACTGCATTAATCAGACCATCGCAGCTAACTACGAAGGCATCCAAACACTTTTTGCCCAGCTTAGCTGTCGTGAGTTGCTTAAACAGGAACAATACACCACCACAATGGCTGGGATCTACCAACAGGTGTTGAATTGTATGGCCAAAAGTAGCGCGTATTGGCTGCGCACCTTGCTTCAATCGGAGTATTTTCGCCGACCAGTAGAGCGCGTCGAATGTGTACAAAGGGTTTCGGAGTTGACCACGACAGCACATGCGAATGGTGTTCAATTCCTCAGTAATCTCCGTGTGATGATTGACTCCCTGCGGGACGCCGAGAGGCCCCTTGCTGAGGCCAAGGAGGAGGACTACCAAGTCTGTGGTGGCAGCACCCCTACCGGCTGGCTGCGGCACTACCGCGGGGAGACGAGTAGCGGTCTCGTTCCCATACACAGCTGCGCGGAAGTAGTCGATGAGTGGCGGATGAAGGCTAGTGTGGTGGTGCGCAATAACAACTCTCGCTGTATGGAGCTGTCGGACAGGATACGGTGTATGGAGAATGCTCGAGTGGGCGTCGCGGAGCAGCTGAATCACCAACTGATGTACTCTATTGAGTGGATACATACCCCTATGGACGATGAGATCGACCTGCTCCGGCTCGCATCGGTGCCGAAGGTCATTCCTGAGGATTTGAAACGGGATATCGATACGTCATTTGTGAAGGACGAGTACAAGCCCTTCGCAAGCACCCGTTTTAGTCAGGCCTCCGAGTTGCAGACAGCGTACAGGCGTTTGCTAGAGCCTCTTATTGTCTTCGTGAGAACGGAGTCACTTTGGTTCACTGCGGTTGTAACTAATAGGCTGCACAAAAAGCAACACACCTTTGAGCAGTTGTTGCTGCGTGCCAGCACCAGCGTGCTTCAATGGTTTGAAAAAGCATCGGATGCGCTAGTGGGTACCATAAAGGGTGTTGTGGGCTACCTACGTGAGTTTTACCAGAAGTGCTATGAGACACGTATGTGGTATAACGAAGAACTGGTGAAGATGGAGCAGCAACTCACTGTGCTTCAAGATCGGCTCGCAAAGTCAGAATCTAAGGAGGAGGCTGAAAAACTCTTTAGCCAAGGTCTGAATTGTCTTGAACAGATAGCTCAACGCCACATTCGGTTTCATAATGAAATGATTCTACACCTGGACCAGGCAGTGGATTCCGTTGGGGGAAATACGGATCGGTACTGCGGCATGATGCTTGATAAGATTTGCGTTGAGTCGGTGGAGGACACGGAGGCCCGAGTCTTACGGGAGCATCAATCCAAGGTTGAGTCTATTATGGCCATGCTGGCGCTCCAGGAACAGCAGCAGAAAGGGAAGCGTGGAAACAGAAAAGGAGCCGAGGAAATTGCCAATTATTTAACCCTGGAACCCATGACTGAGGACGCGGTACCAATGGATGTGGTTACCTACCCTCAATTAACTGCGCAGTCAGGGGTAGTATATAACATCATTGCACCTATGCAGCTCATCCGGGAGCAGGATCATGAAGACAGCATCCCTTTCAACTTTCCTTTGATGTCTGAACCTACGGCGGTGCCTACCGAGTTTGTTTCTTGTTACGATGCTCTTTTTGCAGGATCGGCTGAAAGTAGTGTGGATAGTTTTATTTCCAAAGAAAATGACATCACGGTGTGGAAAGAGGCCCTGCGGCAGGGGCTGCTCGACTGGACGCTGGCGCTTCGCGCATACACGATGCAGAATATTAAGGCCTTCTGCCAGCGCGCGCGAGCGGATCAGTCCATCGAAACGAGTGAGTTACTACGTTGCCACCGCCGCCGACCTGCGACTCTGCAGGTGCAGGTCTATGAGTCTCGTGTTCGTCAGCTCGAGGACAATGCCCATGTAGCCATTAAGTATGGTGTACGCTTGCGAGAGCGCGTCGCATCGGTGCTGTGCGTGTTCGAAGAGTTCGATAAAAATGAGGTATGGGCTGCTGAGGACAAGCAAGTGCTGGCGCAGCTCCAAGAAATGGAGGCACAGGCTCTAAAAGCGCCCAACGCTTCTGCGTTACAGAGTCGTGAGCGTCAGTATAAAGCTGTGTGCATGCAATACGTCAATTGCGTGGACCACCGTACCGAGGTACTTCTAGACCGTGTAAAGAGCACCATATCATCTTTAACGCTTGAGCTACACCAACTCCAGACATCTCACTCGCCACACCTAAACGATGGTGGCAAGGCCGCCATGGAGCGAATTCATGCCGTTTTAAAAGAGCTCGACGAAACTAAGGACAATGTGTGTCGTCATGGCGAGATGCAACGTGAGCGACGTCTTAACACAATTCAGACATTGCAAGCCAGATACGATGCTACTCACGCGCGCACCACCGCCGAGCTACAGCTGATCGCTTGCCTCCAGGAAGTTGCTTCCCGCTTTAGGGTGCAGGTACAATCCTTTATAAATGCCTCCAAGGCGTCCGAGGACGCGTTAAACCGTGCCATTGATTTTCTAGATACGAGCCGTCAGCGCATGCCGCTGAGGCCCGACTTCGTGGCCAACATTCTAGCGAGCACCCACCTTGACGTGCTGATAGCGGCTGAGGTAGGTACCTCTGATCGACACAAAAACGAGGGAAATGCGGAGTCGCCGCTGCCCACCACGGAGGTTCTCACCACACAATTCGAACATGATCTGCAGGCTCTTAAGCTGAAAACCCAGCAAACTGTGAGGACGTGCACGGCAAACGAGGTACTCTCTACTCTCGACCAATTAAGAGATCGCCTCTACGTCCGTGGGATTGTGCTACAAGCACTTCACTACAGCATCGAGATGCTTATGGTCGATCCGGAGCACTACATCGCCCCAAGAATCCCCCGTAGCGGCGGGTCGGACGGCCAATCAGGGTATAACATTTCCTCGGGGGCTTCGGAGCGGCCTAGTAGCGGCCACGTCGGGGGGGCGCGTCGGGGTGGAAAGGGGGCAAAATCCCAGGGCGCGGCGCATTTCTCCGCCCCGGTGCCAGAGCAACAGCTGCTCCCCGCGTCCACCTCAGCCCTCGCGCAGCTCGGGACGTGGGCGATGGGGTTTCGCACCGCCGCGATGGAGGTGGCGCGGGCGCACTTTGCGGCCTACCCTATGCCCCTGGAGCACCCCTTACCCCATATGCTGGCGGAAGCCATCACGGCTGGCCTTAAGGAGAGGATCATGGGGGTGGGTCCGGAGCCAGGCTCGCTGGATGAGGTTGAGATGGCCATCAACTTTCTCTGTCGTACCCAAGAAGCCCAGGTCCGGGAGCATTTGAGGGAGGCTCTAAGAATCTACCGCCAGCAACTACAGCTAGCCTATAATATAGTACAGGCTCTGCCCCAGTGGTTGAGTGCGTCCGTGTACTTCATTTCAGCGACCGCAGTGAGCCTCCACGTGCAAAGTGTACTTCAGCGTTTTGAGGCCTTTCACCGTCTTTCAACTGCTCTTCGCATAGCGAATGACCGAAAGATGAAAGTGTCGCTCAGTTCGCAATCTAAAAGAGATGTTTTGCAACGGCTAATCGCATCAGAGTCCGCTCGTCAGGCCTTAGCTGCGGAGGTAACAGCACGATTTTGGGTCTTTGCGTTGCATGGACTCCAAGAAGAGGCCAGGGAGCATGCTGCGCGCTGCCACACGAGCAGCAATAGCCTCATGTCCTTGCTTAGAGGTCTTGTGGGTCCAGCTCATCTCGTAGCCTTGGGAGAGGGTGAAGTAGTGGAGGGACACCACCGAGGCCTCAGGTACCTGAAGCAGCTCAAGTCAAAGAATACTCAAGCGATGTTACAAAATGAATTGCCAAGTAGCAGTGTTGCTTTCAATCGCGATACTCGTCTGCAGGATGCCTCAGGACCTGGAAAGCAAGAATTCACGAGCAGTCGAAGGGTCATCAGCGTTGGCAACAAGGAGCGTGGCCATAATTCTAACCTGGATAACACCTATGGCGGCAGCAAGACCTTGACACCTATAACTTATCCAATGGTGGAGCTCTTGGGTCTTCCTACTGCTCAGGTGAGGCCACTGGAGGCGTTTTATGCGGAACATCCAGAGTGGGCTGTAGCCCTGCCGATGTCTGGTCCCGCGTTTTCGCATCCAGCGCCTGTCGAGGATGTCGGTGCGGCTCCTGCTGGTGGTGGAGGGTCCCGCACTACAGGAGCCGTAAAAAAGGTGATCCAACCCGAGCAGGTGGCGACCGCCCCTCCATCAATTCCACGAACTTCAGCATTTATCGTGCCCGACACGAGACTATTCCAAGAAACTGTCACACTTGCCCACAAATCGGTCGAGGAGTTCAACACGGCTGTGCAGGAAATCGTTCAGCATCTGAATAAGGCTTTCCATGGATGGCTACAACGGGAGGCGCACTACAAACAAAATTGGGACCTTTCTGTCAAATCTCTATATCACGTCAGCGCACGAAAATGTAGCTTAGGCTCGACCAATGGTCTAAGTCTACTTGAGAATGATAACCCTGAGTAGCAACAAAAAGGTATTTTCTGTGGGTCACCTTTGCATTTGAAACCCTCGGAAAATAGTAAAATACACCCACCCATATAAATACAAAATCACGTATGAGTGTGTATCAAACTACTCCTGCGTACTTCTGGTATATATCCACACACACACACACATATATATATATATATATATATATCATTTTACTTCGGCTCCTGTTTTGCTTCCTTTTTGTTGGCCATTAAATCAATAGTCTCACTTGAGTGAACCGTGTCGACCGTTAGTACTAATCTCTTTGCTGTTTTTATTACTTTCATCGTTTTTTTTCAGATGTAGAGGCTATGTGGGCATATCACTTAAATGACATGTATTAACTATGCTGTTTGCTTATTCGCATATGTACACTCAAGTAGGGTTGCTTGTTGTTCTGTTTATTTCGTTATTCTTGTACGTATAACTGAAATTCATTGGGTAAACCTTCAACAGTTTTTTCTCCCATCTATTTTTTGCCCTTTCCTAATGTTTGCTGTTGAAGCTTTATGTACAGGGATAGGTTTATTGTTCTTGATTTCATTATTTTTTATAGTTGATTACGATACTGTTATATTTTATCGCATATGAACAGCATCGAAACATTATTAACCTCTCTTCAATCGATATCAGTTGAATGGCGCAATCGCAATCACACCACCCAATACCATGCTGACTATCTACATCTTCTTCAAAGGATGAAGGGGTACGTCGTCGGATTACGGCAATCCCCCCAGAAAAGTCAGGCAGCAATCCAAAAAGAATGTGTGGTGCAATCTGTTACCGTTGCCATTGAACACGCCACAACAGGCACGTTGCCATGGATTGTAGTCCTCACGTGGTTAGATCTTTTGGAGAACTTATTAGAGAATGCACAGGGTGATATTCGTATCAGTAACCTTGTGCCTGGGCTCTGGAGCACTATTATGGGGCATTCTAGGGGCAGCAGCAGTGTCTCTGCTACAGCACTCTGCGCTGAACTACGCATCCTTCAGCTGTTGTTGAAGTACGCTCCAGTTGAGATGAAGGGCGCGCTGCGGAAGCACCTGCCGCATCCAGTGAAGTATCATTCTGTTGCGGCACGAGTTTGCGGGTTGAAATGTATGCCATGGATTGTGGCGAATCTTCCATCCTCGGCGCTCACTCAAGAATTTCTTAGATATATACAGAGAGGTCTAACAAGTGGTGTATGGCCAGTGCAAGAGGCGGGTATAGCGGCTGTACGAACTATTATGGAGTTAGGAGTAGACATCGATGCTGCTATGGGGCACCAGCTCATGGAGCTTCTCGCGACTACGTGCAATGACGCCCCTTTTGCTTCCCTAAAGTCGCAGGAAGACGCGGGTATTGCGTTGGGGTACCTCCTGTTGCTCAGTCAGTGTGGCTTCAAGCATCGAAAAGTGACCCCGGCGGTCTCATGGGACGAGGAGCTCTCATGGGGTTGGCTGGGAGGCTCAACCTCTGACGAGGCTCATCGCGTGACGCGTTGCCTCTTTCATTCACACATGTCACGCGTGATGCAGCAAGTCCTCGCGATCGCCATTTCGGTCCTTTTTCGCGTTGGGTGTAGCGATTCCACTCTAAGCGAGGCATTACGTTCCGCCTTTGTGTTGCTGGTTCCAGTACCGGGCGATTCGCGGACCTATATGCCTCGATTGCTTGCGAACGCCCTTAGGGACTGGGCGTTGCAACTGCCAACCCACACCCATCGGTTGGCTTTGGTGAACTGTGTGCGCAAATATGTTCGGAGCATTGCTGAGGATAAATCGGTGGTGCGTACGGCAGTGATTGCGCTGGATATGATCGTGCCTACCCTTGTCTCGCCACGGGAGCTGAACGTCAGCTTTGAGAAAGACTTACTTCTTGCGTTCGAGGCCCATCCGTCTCTGCTCGAACATGTGAGCAACATTCTAGGTGTTATGGGGGCTCAAATCCCCGACTCATTTTGCCAGCACAGATTATTGCACAACTTCGTTCAGTCAAGTCAATGTATTTCGAACGCTGAGGGTGGTGAGCTCTCACGGGACTTTGTTCTATGGACCAAGGCAGTACTCGTTGCCCTTCGGGAAGGTAAAACCGATGGTGAGGCTTCAGTCGCCATGATAGGGCCTATTCTCACAGTAGTTTTCCAACTAAGTTACGATGAGTTGGCATCCGTATATGGAGAGAATGATAAATTTAAGCGAGCTGAACTCTTTTTCATGTTAATAAAGGTCCTTCTAGAGTGTTTTTGTCATTATGTTTCTAGCTTTGTGAAGGCACAACTGGAGTTAGCCGTGAAACGCCTTATGTTCTCCTTGGTTAACACTCCTTCCAAATCGTCTGCGTACTGCCGGGTGGCCTATGCAGCCTGTAGTCTGCTTACCAGCAGCAGTTTTTGCGATACGCCCACGGACACACAACGTATGCTATGCATCGGATTACTGGAGGGCCAGCTAATGGAGACATCACGCCCCTTGCATGAGTCGGATAGCTCAGCTAAAACCGACAGTAGCCTTTTTCAAAGGGATATGCACAAGCTAAAAGGGGAAATCTACAATGTCATTGCCAAGGGTCCATGGAAGCCGTGCCCTGATGAGGGGAGTCTTCGGTGGCTGGTAACTCAAGCACTCAACGACCTCGAGAAAGCATGTAAGGATAGTGTGCCGGTTTGTTTGGAGGACAAGGAACTTTTCCCTTCTGCTGCAGCCTCATATTTACGAAGCTCCCGTTGCATTCTTCCAACAGCAATGGACATGGCTTATGCTAAAAGCCTCGAGCAAGCAGTGCGCCTGGTGGGTTGGGGCTTCCATCACTTTGCATCGGTCGATACAACAAGGAGTCGTGACTTCTGCAACGAGATCCTAAATCGACTGAAGGCGATTGCAGAGACGCAAATGCATGCAAACATACTAGATACAGGGTCCCTCTCTTCCTCCAGGAGTGGCAATCACACGAAACATGGGGCTGCAGATCCCAATACTATCACCACATGGAACCTTTTGGTATGTTGGATTATGTTATTTAATAGTACCTTAAGGAGAGGCGTAGACTCATCGTTGTCCGGTCTCTTTCGTACAGGCTGGACCACCAACTTCTTGTCAAGCTTACAGGGGCTTGAAAAGATCACCAGCAGTTGCATTGATTCAAACCTTTTCGATCTAAAGGTGCTTGCATGCAGGGTCCTTGGCTTCACATGGTGTCTGTTGGACCAAGCTGATATTGTTACAACCAAGATGGGACAGGAGGGTCCTCCTAGCACCGATAGGGTACTAGCCATCGTGGAGGCGCACGCTTATTGTGGCCTCACAGGTCAGCCCACAGCAACGCTACCGATAGTCATTTCGTTTGTGAGTGAGTTACCTAAGCATTATTCTCTACCCAATGACCCGTGCTCACTCTCTGAACTTACTATCCTCACTGCCTTCATTCGTCTCGCTGAGGTTTACCCTTTGGAGAGCGCTGAGCGGCTTCCAGCGGCTTTAGGCAATTGCTTTCTTGCACCTATGCCTCCCTCCATTGACCCCCTCGTGCTATCCCTCAGCCTTGTGTTCTTTTCGCTGTTGTCTCCTCTGGCGGACACTTTCGTTCGGGATGGCCTGTCGGACCTTATTACTGCTTGCATGAGGCACGCCGTGACATGGAAACGACCGCCATATCAAATGGACGAAATCGAGGACGGCGCCAATGTAAGCCTTGTGGGGCGCATGTTGCACTATTACCAAACGCCAGTGCTACCTTCGGATTCAAACAAAATAAATACGTACATTGTAGTCTCAGAGCGATTATGGGAATTGGTATGTAATAACAACTCTTGCAATAACAGCGACATTAAGGGTGCAACTTCTTTTCAAAGTCTTGCTGTGCGGAGAACTTTAGTGCTGCGCCATCTTCCGGATTGTTTTCTACGTCGTGCAGCCCAACTTTGGACTGAATACCACACAGAGATGTTCACAGCAGGTTCTCGCATTCCGATGAATTTGTTGGAAGTAGCGCGACTAGTAGACTTTGCTTCAACGAAGGAAACTCGACAAGCTTGGCTTAAAGTAGGCCAGATCATACTTCAACATCACGTGGACACCATGCACACTCAAAAGTCATCAATCTGCTTACAACTCATTCAAGACATTCGCGAGTTGCTGTTAGCGCGTTCATCAAGTTTTTCTGCAGTCACTTCTTTTTCACCCAGGGGGGTCTTTCCCACAAGATCACATAATCATGGTGTTAAGATAATCGGTTCTGATGACTTTGAAGGTGAGCAGAGCTTTTTGGGAGAGGATCCAATGAAAGGCGGACGGGCGAAAGGATCTTGTAAGAAGAACCAACATGAAACCACAACGGTGCGGCGCAACTCAGGTGAGGTGTCGTGTGATCTGCCTGCCAAGGAATTTGCATTGCGGATGCTTGTCTGTTTACTCTCATTGCTCCCAACGGCCACCGCGGAGATGCATCACGCCTATCTGAATCTCGTAACCATCTCAGGTTCTTTGGTTGAAACGTTTCCAGACCTTTTGGGCAGCGTAACCGACTTACTCATAGACGTCCTAACCCACTATAATGAAAGCTATGAGGATGATCCCGAGGATAGACTAGTTTTCATAACTGAGCGCAAAATTCCATTACTTTCGTGTGTAAAAACACTCATACGACTTTCCGTATTTCGAGTGGCAAGGGGGTGTGAACTAGCAAGAGTTTTTGTTCACAGCAAACTTGCTGATGACGCTAGTATGCTGCGTATTGTTCAAAGCTTGTCGCTACTTCTGACCACCTTGGACTCTTTAAATAATGGCGACAGGACCCCCGAGAAAAAGCGGAGCGACTATGACGAGGTGGCTGAAGGAGGGGGCCGTCTTATCATCCGAAGCCGAGCGTCTGGTCTTGTGGCGACGGAGCTGTCTCGAATCGCGGACTACGCGGAGTCTCATGGCTGGACGGAAACGGCCTGCGCTGCCGTGCACAGCCTGCACTCTCCGGCTGGGCAATCAGCCCTCTTTTCGTTGTGCGCGCATTTTGTTTCACTGATGTCCATGTTCAATGGCTACCAGGCCCCACCAACGTTGATCTATTCGGGTCCACCAGATGTGGATCTCGAGCTTGTAAACGTGGATGCCGCGCTTGCGGCTGTGGCGTGCGTAGCACAGAAGAGGGTCGAGGGCGAGCAGGGACTGGGCCCCGGGCTGCGCTATGCCGTAGGCTGCCTCTGCTGTATCCTGATAGCAACTGAAGGTACCCGCTTGCATATGTTGCCAAGTTTGGCTAGAAATCTTCTGATTCTACATCAAGATATCCTTGCGCAGGTAGCGTACAACGCATTGATGAGCGACGGTTCAGAATCGAATGCTCCCTTGTTACTTTGTATCCTAGCTCAGACCACAGGTGTCACGAAGACAAATGCTATGGCAGAGAATCTGCTAAGCTACTGTGAAAGACGATACACCTCCACAGCGCAGCCGCTACCTGTCACGGTGGTAGAGTCTCTGTTGCACATTTTCTTCACCATCAAAGACGACCAATCCGAGGCGCTTGTGTCTATATCCAAGCTCCTTTGGTTGCTTCCAGTAGACTACCTATTCCTGTCGCCATCTATGAGTCTTGGTAGAGCGGCACTAGAGTTCTGCCGTTCCGTCAAGGTTGGCCACACATCTGGACCTCAACAGAGGGAAGTATTGGAAAAATTGGCACTATCGGGAACTAGTGGGCTGATTTTGAGCGAGTTAGTGTGCGGGTACCATCACCGACAGACGTTATTGGAAACCCCGCCCATCCCATACTGGTGTTCCGTGTTGGAGGCACAGGAGCCCTCTCAGCACATTGCCCGACTTCTCGTTCAGGCGTACGCTGAGACGGATGATCCCTTAGCACTCACAGTGTGCCTCATCTCGCCCATGACCCCTTTTGTAAAGGCAATAAACATCATAGCTGCGATCGTGAGTGTTGAGTGTGTTGACTTTTTCGTTAAATGTCACAGCTCTCTGTGTTACATTTTTGAGTTTTTACTTTTTCACATCACACCAAACGACGGTATATCCGTACAGGAGCGTATGACGATAGTCATACAGGTACTGACTGCCCTTCTGACAAGTGGGCCGCACCAACGCATGATTCGGTCTGCACTTCGGTCGGTTGGTGCAAGCCTCGTGCAGCGGGTCGCTAGGAATAGCCCGGCAGAGTTTCGCGCAGCAATACAGTCACTAGAGAGGGAGAAGGTCATGATACTACGGAGTTTCATGGAAACATCCGTGCTGTAGCCTAGGTAAATAATATCATGGACTCGCACACTGAATGTAGTTATGATGATCCGTCATCAGTACATCGTGATGGTGAGTGCATGTAAATAGTTTTTTTTTCTCATACTGTAGAATTTCATCGTTTTTGAATACAGGCATTTGTCGTCATTTTCTATCGCTGAGCTTTGATACAAACAAGAAGTAAGTAAAGCTAATTTGTCTACAGATTACCAGCTGATTCATTCGCTTTAAAGACAAATTACTAATCATGTCATTATCACAAAGCTAGCTGGCAATAAAGGGTACTGAATATTGGACTCTATTGTCGATTAGTCTGTGGAAGCTGGTGTTTTACGGGGATTATTTACCCTCTTTAAAATAGCATGTTCGTTTTCCATGCCTAACCAGTCCTCTTTCCTTATGTCAATATTTTCTTTTGTTTCTATTTTGCATCATTTTCTTATTTCTATACTCATTAATTTCAACGAGAGCAACATAACTATCCCTACACTTGTGTTTTCTTCTTCTTTTGGCAGATGCAGGGGAAAAAGCCAACTCTACAACCCGCGTACCTTATTTTATTGATCAAGGCAGGTAAAACAGGTGGACAAATGCATTTCTAGGCAGAGGTGATCATACCTTGACGTTTTTCTTCTGCTTTTGTCTCTTTATCCCTTCAACATTTCTACAGGGCCGGCTGGTATCGCTGACGAACTGCAGTGTTACATAGCGTACGTGCGTAGCGGCTATCAAAGTGCAGTTTCTGGTAATCATGCAAGAGCAGTTATCGAGTTCCAAATATACTTGAGTAGGCGGTCCAGCACCCAGTGCAATGATTCTCTCAGTTGCGGGTCATTCAGGGTGGTGAGAACCAATGCCAATGATATTTCATCAATATAGGCACGTACTTTCTGTGCTTTACATCCAACTCTCTCGAACTTCGTCGCTCTGAGGGGCATCATAGGCGATGTCGAGAAAGGTGTGTGCACCATCGCTCACAGGCCTCTGCTGGTCTGAGTTAGTGATAAAGACTAAGATTAATGCTCTGGAAGAGACATACCTCTTGTATTATGGAACCTGTGAATTCTATACTCGGACGTTTCAAATATTTTTTTTCAGGTTTATGTCCAATTCTTTATCGTACCATGGAATGCCTTTGATTGCTCCTCCGCTTACTTAGTTCATTCTACTTGTCTTTCTTGGAGCTGAATCAAAAGGAGTGAAGATATAAATCCATATACACACGTCCATATAAATAGCTATAAGTCGTTTGAAAGTACATTTCTTGCGTTTCTAGTGACGGCGCTCAAGCTCAGCAATTTACGCTTCCGAGCTTTTAAAAGACAAAAACTGCTCAAGAACTAAGAATAGAATAACTGTTCCATGAGTATGATATTACCAATAGTTCGAAAAGACGCGGTAGACTGGGCCAACCTCGTGAAAGATGCTTTGGAGGAAATTCAGATCAGCGTCCCACGCTCCGTGGAAGACTCCTTGATGGCTCTTAATACATATGCTAAACTCCCAACGTCCGCCTTTGCGAACCTCACGACCGGACTCAAGGATGCGCGTGTTTATTGTGCTTTGCTGACATCGCTCGATCAGGCCATCATGGAGTGGCCAGCCACCCTTCAGCGCAGAGTGTATGCCTCACAAGTACAGCGCGATGGATCCAAGATAACCGCATGTAGGCCATTTGTGGAGGCGGTCATCGTACTGTACAACGCCGCGGTGGAAAATTTGGAGGCAGGACTGTCAAACCTTGCTCGAGTACACGCGGATTCCGCGCAACAGCATCCTGCACAAGCCCTCACGGCGACGGCCACACGAACTGCAGTGCACCCAAACATCAACGCGAAGAATGCGTATCGACACTTTCAATGTGCTCATGTTTTAGGTATCGACGTCTCGGGGTTCCTTTTTCCGTCGCCTGAGTGTGACAATCCAGACGCTGCCCCTACACAGCCAAGCCTCACCGTCTACGAGGCCGTTCAGCTGAAATCTCTACTTGATATCGAGGAGCTGCGAGCGCTTGTGAGTTTGTGCATTGCTGTGGCAAAGTATGTCTTCGCTTTCACTGATTCAATTGGGGAAAAGTCAGATGTGCTTGCGAAGCTCGCTTTTTCGGGAGCGTCACTTCGTATCCCGGAGAAGTTGGTAGCATCGGGTTTACCAGAGATTCGCCTGCTACCGTGTGCCCTCTTAGTGGCATATCACTGCCACCAAGCAGAGTACTATTACAAAGTCAATCCTAGGCTACCAGACATGCCGCGCGCACTAGGTCACATCTGCTACGCCGACGAGCTTCTCTGTGGAATGGAAAGTCAAATCAAAATTGGTAGCTTCCAAAAAGCTGACTTGCATAGTGGTGGCAAAGTAGCAAAAATTACATTGTCGTTGGGAAAGCTCTTATGGCGAAAGTTTGTTGGAGATCGCGGTAGAAAAGAAAGCGATCATGGTGAAGGGAAGTACATTATTGAGGAGATAGAGTCTGACAAGGAAATGTCACATCGGGCCTCTGTTTACAATAATCTACTTCGTTTTCTATCCGAGGGTGAATGCGGCCTTGTGCGTTTGTTTCCAGTCATGGATAGTCTTGTTCGTCGCGTATATGAACTCTATAAACAGTATCAGCATGAAAACATGGTCGTCTATCTGTCAAAGCCACTTCCTGCGGAGACAATTCAGTTAGACACACCAGATTCGGCGGTGGTGGAGTTGTCTTTGAGGGTGCCCGGTATCGAGGGCAGCCGTACCGCGCCGCTCACTTCCTTTCTCCATCGGAACACATTTAAGGACATGCCTCGGGGACCAGAGGTGAATGCTGCTTATAAGTCGAAGGAAGATAGGAAAACGCAGAAAGTCAGCATGCTGGATCAATGCGCGGCTATTGAAAATATCATAGAAGAACTGCGTGGGGTACAGCTACCCCACGAGGTGCGACTATGCATCGAGGCATTGGAACCCTGTTTGGAAGAGCATGTTGGTTCTGTCGCGGCAGCGCTGAAGATCGCTGAGACGACCCTGCAAGACGCTTGGAAAAGCCACGAAAAGGCCGCGCAGTTATGGCTGGACGTGAGGAAAAGGTACCTTGGCGCGCGAGGGGGGGTGGGCTTCCATGAGAAGACGATCAAGGTCCAAAAGGAAGTTGAAGAGTGGTGTAAAAGTCTTGCGGAGGCGGAATCTGATTGGCTTCGATTCATTGGACCACTGGACTTTGGCGTGGATGTTGATAAATTGATCCGCCTACTTCTGCCAGCGGACTGTCGTGATAGCTATCGGTACATTCAACAAGCGGAAGACGTCATCGCCGAAGCGCGGAAGATTCTTCGGAGGGCCTCGATGCCTGTCACAGGGGCGCACCGAAGCACCACCCTGGAGAGTTCTTTCCTGCCGAAAGAGCAGATCGATAGTACGCTAGCAAATCTGAAAGAGTTAGCTTCACAGGGGGAGCAGCTGGTCATGCGACTGAAAGAGGTTATGGAACAGCGCAGTTGGTGGGAAAAGCGACAGACTGCAATGCGCTGCGTGGTTCTGGTAATATGGGGTGCACCAGAACTGAAAAATAAACTTAACGAGGCAACACAGCTTCTGCGAGATGAATGTACTGAGATGAGCAGAGCGCCTTCAGTTTTTACGTCCTCTGTTTTTCGGAGAGGTACTGACTCCGGTACCGAAACGAGAACGAAGGTGAGTAAAGACCCTATACTTGGGCAGAGGCGTCAGCGTGATACTTTAACAGACGAGGATGACGGTAGTTCATATTGCGGGAGTTCCTCTGATAAAAAAAGGCCCCGAAGTGAGGAAGCGCCGTCTCTACACACCAGCCAGGGTGTTTCTTCTCATGGAGTTCCATCGTCCATGGAAAGCTTGGGTAGCAAGAACACTACTGAGTCATCGTTCCCCATGGAAGCTGAGGTTAGCAGTTCTTTGAAGGATAGGCTCAGGAAAAATCGAGAAGCTATGGAAAATGCAAGTAATACACATGCTAGAAGCAAAAACGCTAGAGGTGGGCGCACGGCATCATCGAAATGATTATTCTTGAGCGCAAATATTGTCTATTAAGATATCAAACAAATAATAGGCAAATGTGAGGTAAACCTCAATGTATCCCACCGATTCCCTCTAACAAGCATGGAGAACGAGATCTAAGTGCCTGTCATTGAGTGTTACTGGAGGCCTTAACGACTCTGACAGTCATAATGAGATGAGTAAGAGGCTTCTTCTGGCTGTCCTTTTAGTTTTTGTCGTTTTTCTTGGGATTTATACACTGTACTTTTATTAAGAAGCAAGGATTATCTCGTTCTTGCACCAAAATGGCTGGTCTTCTATCATGTATATGAGGGGCATATGGACGAGTTTCCTTCTCTACAAGTGATTGTTCCATTATTGGTGAATACATTGTATTGCAATCCTAAACATCGTCGACCTATCAGCCCTAGGACGCATACAAAGCGTAAAAGGAGAAAGAGCGTCTGATATGCTTAACTAAATTTGCCTCTCAGTGCTTTTGTCTACCATTTCTTTTTTACAGAAATGGTGGTGGTGGATGTGTTGTTCCCATGTCTCAGGCCGTTCCAATTTGTGATGTTTTTTCATTTATCCGTAGTGGAAGCAACCACATCAAGATTGCTTAGCCCCATACTAATCCAAATACCGGGTTGATGGGCTAAAGTAGAAGCTGATACAGAACACTTTGGATTTAGTGTTACTGAAGATCCTCCGAAAGTCAATTCCAGACATGGTGGTGCCCATCCCTTAGATGTGGCGTTACTTAAGGCGTCAGGGGCCGTAGCTAGGCACCGATCTGAGGATCAAGCGCGCCAGGCTGGTGTTGTACAACGAACAGGGGTGTGGGTGAGTACCCTGCTTATTGTGGGCCTTCTCTGAGGCACACACCAGAGTGCTACCAGGAAGTCTGACAGCGGTGTCAGCAGCCTGCGGTCTGAAAGGGATAGAAATGGGGCCTACGGTATATATAAGATTTAGCGGCCTTCATTATTGATGATATTAAAGGAGCCTTTGAAGGCATTGTAGGGCTCCTGCCGCAGCAGACGCGCCCTGCGACGAGCTCAGTTGGTTGATGCAGGTGACTTGAGGGCGTGCCGTGCAGAAATGCTACCAGAAGCGGAGATAGAGTAGTAGGGGTAGGTTGTCCAAAAGTTAGTTCAGTGGGTGAAAAATTTGATGCTTGGTCCATTGCTGACTTGATTTCTTAGAATGTATACCTGTTTGTTTTGTTATGTTTTTTTTCAACTGAAACACATGTTTCATTCGCTGTCTTCATTTTTTCGTCAACGTGGAGCCAATACCCATCCCTGGATCCAATATGCATGAATCTAGAGTATATAAAAATTGTGAAAAAATTGGACTAGTCTTTCTTGAGTGTGCACGCGTTTTTGTATGACATTTTATTATTTGTGCCCCTTACACTCTTCTCAAATGGGCTCATTTAGTATATTGTATAGGTGAAGAGTCTAGTCATTATGGAAAGAGCATGGGGTCTTGTTGCACACTCTCTCGTCGAAAGAAATATCGATTCAAGGATTTTATTTTGGATGTCTATCCAAGGGGCGTCCGTGGAAAACTCAATGATGATGCTCTCCATCATTTGAACAGTTATGTTGTTAGTAATCCAGAGCGAGTTGCTCCTGTGTGTCGCAAAATCTACAAACTCATATGCTTGCATCTAAGGCAGAAGAAGTCCAATAATGTGATGGTGTCTCTGAAAATGTTGCGTTTTCTTATTCAACAAGCCGCTGTGGTTGACGGGTTTGTGTCAGATTGCATTGAGTTTGTATCTGTTCTGTTTTCCACACGCGAGCCACGCTATCAGATTGGGGCAGCTGATATATTGAGTATTCTTTGTTATCGCCTAGCGATTGATCGGAAGAGTGCAAATTCGCGCCGCCTCATAGCCGACAGCCAGGACCGTCTTTTGCAACCCTTGCAACAGATGTGCGCTATCAGGGTATCTGACAACAAGGACCGTGATAGCATTCAAAGAAGCTACGCCGCTATCATTGCCCTTGGCCATATTTCCAGGTGTCTGAACAGCGCCAGCACCGAACATGTCGCATCACGCGTATTCCCCATACTGGAAAACCTGATCTCGGTCCTGCGGAAGCGCACGCAGGGGCTTATCGAGGGAATTGACGTTGGGCAGCAGCTAGGCAGTAGCAATCATATTGGCGTCCCGCCCATCAACGTAGAGCTTCCGGAATCCGCCTCAGAAGACTTAGACATTCCCTATATGCAGGCATGCAGCTTTGCGATAGGCACAACGGCGGGCTGCGTCACTACCACCGGCATCGAGGATCTCCTCACACGTATCACAACTTTCATGACCAAGCGAAAGGCCTGGTCGGTGCCGATGCTGGCCCCCATCGTGTTCTGCGCGCTTGCAGCACAGATGCAGGCGCGCCCGATCCGGCTTGGATTTATGGTCTACAGAGGGCTGTGCGAGACGGGCATCAGGAGCAATGATATTGCAGTCCACATCGGCGTACTAGGCGCGCTGCAGGCTTATCTCCGACGTCTGCCCGTGAGTGACAGCAGACCGCAGTCTATCGTGAAGCTCATTCAGGCTGTGGTAGCGAACCCACTTCCCCAAGGTGGCGCGGGTGACCATGAGTGCTCAATGCGGGACATGCAAAAAGCTGTGATTGAGCTTATTCGCATCCTTCTTCAGGTCATTTACCACCAGCGCAGGGCCCCAGAACTGCAGAGTGTTGTGAAGTCTATCCTGTGCATGACCTTAGGGACTGGTAGCATGCAGGGGGGAGGATTCGCGCAGGGTGGGCATAGCACGTGTTGGATTACTTTTATGTTGCGCTGTATGACAGTAGCCTCGCCTTATGTGCGGACAGTACCACCATCTGATCGTGCGAAGGGAGGGCTAAATGTCGGCGAGGCTATCGTATCTTTTTTGCATGGCAATGATGTTACGGCGCGCATATGGTCGGCTCGCATATTGCAACGCATTTTGGCTGGTAATCCAATCGGGCGCGGTGTGTTGGCCTCCGAGCCGTTGATGCCACTTTACGTCGATGGAAAAGATATTATCCTTGCTCAGAATTGGGTTCGCACGATGGTGTGGAGTGCGCATGTCATCACTCCGCAGTGTGTTGTGGAGGTGACGAATGCTATGACTGCTATCATGGTTGGGTGTGGTATCAGCGGGATGCCCTTTGTTCTCAAGTTGCTCTCGCGTTTGCAGCATCGGTGTGCGCGCATAGACACATATAAGGAGGGCGGCTGCGATACCTCGCCCCCCCTTGGGCCGATGTCCGCTTTAACACGAGCGTGGCTTCATATGATTGTCGTGTTGTTAATCAGCTGTGGCCGTGTGTACAATATCCCCAGGCTAGTGGACTATGCTATCAATATATTTCGCCAGCGCCAGGCGGCAGATCCATCCGAGTTATCAAGCCATTTCGAGCCAACCCTACCCGAACGTAACTCCTTTGAGGATCTTTGTCCGTCCAGCGACCTCAAGGCGATTACCGCAGTGGATGGCAAACACATTATCCTAGACGATGACCCTTGTGAGGGGGCTGTCAAAACGTTGCCTTCATTTAGCCACATCGTCAGTCTCATCGTGGAGGTCGAGCGTGACAAGGTGACAGCTGCCTCTTGGGCCGCTGCCGGCGATGCCGCAGTGCGTGAGCTTCAAGAGTCTTTTGATAAAGCCTTTCTTCAGTCTGACGACAAGTTTGCCGATGGGAATTCTGTAGCCAGAGACCATGTGCTCAATTCGTCGATCACACCTACACAAGCTGACAACGATGTTTTTTTCACCCTCCAGGCCCCCGAAGAGCAGCTCACCGGGTTGAGTTCCATCAAAATAACCCTAAACGATTGTGTCTCTACGGGTGTGCCGCTGCGCGTGGAACTGCCTCTAATGACGGCTTCGAATTCAGGTCGAGTAGCGGAGATTTTAGCTATCTATGATGTGAGCGCATCGTCGCAGCTCCTCCTTGGCGACACGTTTACCGCGCCAAAGCGGTTTGCTTCCACAGATGAACTCCGGGAAGGCCTCAAGAGACAGGAGGCTATTCACGATGAAAACGCTCGGCCTGATATCTACCACACGATACCATACAATATGGGATGCAATGGTTTCACTGACGTTGAAGAGGCTTCAGGAGTTAGTCAAAAGCTTGGCTTGCATCAGGAGAGTGGCAGTGAAGACTCTCTTGTGGATATTCCAACCTCTCATCCAGAGGTTCAGGAATATGACAACATTGTGCATGTATCTCCTTTGGGTGAACCCTTGTGGGTTGCATCGTTACCCGCTGCTCGACTTTTCAAATTATAGCATCCAATAGCCGGAAGTTTTAGCATTACTCTATTTGTATTGGGTTGCAGGAACACGCAAACTGGCACTTCTTGTTCGCTAGGTATGAAACACTGGCAATACGCACTTATTCTGTTTTTTCGATGTTGATATCTTTACATGCGTCGAAGTCTGTAGCGTTTTAAATACTTGGATTACATATATATATATATATACTATTCATGGTAGCGTTTATAGTGTGCTGGGTGTATCCCTGAGTAGTTTCATAGTCTCCCAATTGTGACGATATACTAATGTAAGTTGACTTGTTCCCCCCCACTCGCCGTAGTGTATTTATACCATACATGTGAATAGGTAATTGCTAGCTCCCTAATCCATTTTAATTCCCCTGCTTTTCTCAAGTCCATTACTAGTGTTAGTAGGATTGCTTGGTGGAGATTTAACCGCAGATTGACATGTACTCGCCTTTCGAACTTATAGATGGAGAGCTGGTGGATTTGCACATATGCTCGCCTATAAACTCCCCAGAAGGCGTCGCCATAGTTTACTTTAAGGGTAGTAAGGGAAAGGAATGCGTTTTGCGACCCTGCACGCTACTACTTTCCCAATACCGCATAATGCTTTGGGTTGACGGCGACCCCCAGTGCACGGTGAATATTTCCCTTTTGGCTATTGACCGATGGAAGATCCAACCAGCAAACCATCATGTTTCCAGGGCTTTGGATATTATCCAGCAGCAAGAGCCACGGTCCGTATCGTCGTCGCCACAAAACTCGTCTTCTTCAGTCCCTTTGTTGCTGACCCTTAATCTCAAGCATGTGTGGGCACACCACGTTTTACTTCCGAGAAACTCCATGATTATTCGAAACATCCAGGCACGACTTACAGCTTGTGCGAATACGTCAAGGCTGGATCAACTCCCTGCCTTCACATTGGAGCAAAGTCGGAAGCAGCAATGGCAGCGCGCGGCGACAGCCCTCGAGCTTGATGAGGATTCGCGGCTTGGGGAGGACTTTGGCTGGTGCTTGTGGAACTCCCGGCTGGAGTGGGACCGTCTGCTGTGCGCGAACCCGACACAGGCGGTGCCGGACACCCAACCCGCGGAGGGCGTAAAAGGCGCTGTGGCAGTGGGCAAAGACTTGCGTCCCTGGTTCCATCACATCTCGATGCGCACGAACACAAGCGATGATGGCTCCACCGACGGCGAAGAAGAAGGTCATACAGCAACGCTGTACATCTCCCCAGCAACATACCCTATGGACGTCGTGGAGCCAATAACGGTTGACAAGACCCTGCTGCTAGGCGCTATGACCGCACGTTCCAGGGCGCGCTTCCCTGCACTCTCTTATGTCCATCTCGCCTCCGGTGCAGTTTTGGCACGCAGCTCGCAGCCACTGTTGCGCTCGCAGCGGCTCTACCTTGATGTCATTCTGTGTCAGGCCCTTGTCAACCGTGGCTTCAGCGAAGCCAATTTGGCTTCTGCACGAACCACGTCTGCTACACCGGAGCGATCTAGCTTAGGTGCATCGCCTTCCTCACCACCTGCCTTTGTACCCCCTCCTTCGCTATTTGAGGAGCATCGTATTGGGGGACTACAACTACAGCCGTCCTGTGTTCCCAATAGTGGCGCCTCGCCGCTCCCTAGCGGTGTTTTGAAGGTGGCGGACTGCCGGCCACTACTTACCGCGAAGGGTAATGCCCAGTTGGGCGGCGGTTACGAGTCCGGTGCGCAGTATAGTTTCTGCTCTACCGAGTTCTACCACATTGAGAACATCGTGTGTGTAAGTAAATCTTTTGATAAACTCCGTGCGCTTGTCTCGTGCTATCAAGGTGACAACGCCGAGGAGGGCTTCTACAAGACACTTCATGACACCCAGTGGCTGTACCATATTCAGCGCATCTTGGTCTGCTCGTCCGAGGTGAGTCAGTCCATTGTGAAAGGGCAGTCGTGCTTGGTTCATTGTACGGACGGCTGGGACCGCACCGCGCAGTGCTGTGCCACTGCCATGCTTTTGTTAGACCCCTTCTACCGCACCGCGGGGGGGTTCTGCATGCTAATTGAGAAGGAATTCTGTTCCTTTGGTCACAAGTTTGCCGAGCGCAGCGCGCATCAAGTCCCGGGTCGCACCTCCCTCGTGACGCATTCGGGCGTGAGCGCCTCAGATACAGAGACTCGAGATAGTAGCGGGAAACTGGATGCGTCACCAATCTTTGTGCAATTTATGGACGTAATATTTCAGATCATGCGGCAGTTTCCCGACGCCTTCGAGTTCACGACTCAACTTTTGGAGTACTTGAGCGAAGAGATCTACTCCGGCTTCTATGGGACATTTTTGTGCAATTGCGTACAGGAGAGGACGCTAGAAGGTGTGCGGCTGCGCACGCGATCCATCTGGACCGACGTTATGCGGCGTGTACAATCTGAGAGGCGCGGTGAGTTGCCGCTGCGCTTTGTGAACGCCCAATACGACTACGAAACAGCTTGGGCGGGTATCACCAGGCGAAACACAGAATCTAGTATTCTCACGCCGAGCTGCAACAGTAAGAGCCTTGTCTTTTGGGACGACCTTTATTTCAAAGCAGACCTCGATCGATGTGTGAAGCGCGAGAGAGACATCAAGAAGAGACGTGAAGTAACGCGTGTTCTGTCATGGGGACTTGAATTCGACGCCTTCTTGGATGAGTTCATCCAAGCGGCTTGCCGCGGGCGTGCAGAAGAGGTCCCTCAACTACAGCGCATGGAAAAGATCCTCCAAGCCTCGAGCACCAGTACGCAACCGTCGACGCGTAGTTCATGGTGTACTTTTGACCCTGACATATGCTTTGGATGTTTTAAAAGTATTGGCGTCTTCACAGCGGCCGCGCGATGCGACACTTGCAAGCACAGCTTTTGCATGGATTGCGTCGTCCACGTTTGCGTTGGTTGACTCGGAAGAGATACTTGCATGTATTATGCGAACGCATATCCTTGAAACTTATTGTTTTTCTTTCGTGTTTCACATTTTAATTCTGCTCATGTGTTTGGCAAGGTTATTGCCTTTACAACTGTTGTTTCCTTTTTATCACACCTCTTTCTTATTTTTTGTTGTCACTTTCAACAGATCTGCTCCATTCGCCAGCTCGCGCAGGACGTCAGGCGAGGTGATGCTTTTTGGGCGAATTGTGTTTTAGGCAAATCAATAAATGTAAGTCAGCACGTTGTACAAGTGGCGAAAATATTCTTTCTACTCATTTTTTAAAGACACAACTCCAATGAAACTATTTTGAAACTGACAAATGATATAAGTTTTACATGCGCGATCGCTCTTGTATAGCTATGTGGGAAGCACTGTCACATTATATATATATATATATATATATATATATGACTTTTTACATAGGAATAACAGCGACTCTAAAACTAGATCCCTCTGGTGTTCACTTTGATTCATTTGAGAATAGTCTGATCTCTGTGTACGCTGTTATGCTACCTTGGTTGTAGCTGTTTCTTTTTAGATTTTTGATGAATTTCTCGCCTCCTCTGTTTACAATATGGTGGGATGCGCAGTCTTATTTCTTTTCCATTCAAGTGTGCAAGTGCCCTGCATTTGCATTCTAGTTGCACCCATCTCTGGAGAATTGCAAAATGCAACGGAGAAAAGTGGTGATTACACCGCTATTGACGGTTCTCAACACATTTGTTTGCGCAACTCTTCTTTAATCGCCAGATTGTTGACACACGTTATTTTATTGATACCCAGAATTGTGTTTCACGTTTTTACTTTGTTCCTAAGTTAGTGCAAGTGTTTGAATCATATGAAGTTGATAATGATATCAGGTAGTGGAAGTGATACTTTGTTAAACCCTTTTCACATGCAAAACTGCATCTCAGAAGACGTGCCCTTGCAACGTCATGATCTGTGTCACAACTTCCATTCCCCCTTAAATTGAAGGAAAAGGAAACACTAGGAAGCGAGTTGTCTCTCTTCGACAGAAAGTAATTTCTACTTTATCCTTTAGGATTCTTTTCTAGGGATCGCGCCAACGTAGGACTAGTTGAGATTGTTGGTAGTAGATTGATCGTATTATGCCGGTGCTCGACGTTATTGTCATCAAAGCATTTGGCATCCACGGGGTTTCACTCAATAAAAATTTCAAAATATACCTGCGTCTGCAACAGCAAAACGCAGGTTCTAAAAAATGTAAGAAAGTTGGCGACGAAATTCACTTTTTGCAGAAATTTACTTTTCATTATGACCCTAATCATTACACTCGTGAAAAACGCCTTTTCATCGAGCTGTGGACAGAATCTTTGTTTGGCGAGTCATGCGTGAGTGTCGCGTGGGTTTGCTTAGACACACAAAACTTCGTTCGCGGAGAGTCTATCACCCTCAGTTTACGCGGTGGATTCGAGAATTTGCAGGCCTCCTTTATGGTAGCCATAGTGCCCATTGATTTCGGAGCTGTTTCAGGGCACCCCTCGCAACAAGGGCAACCGGTGCTTGGTATTCCGCTGAACATGCACAACCCACCAGCTGTCACCTACCCACCCCACGATTTCTTTGCAGCGCCGCCAGTACAGTATTCACCCGCACCCTTCTCTGGTACTGATAGGACACAGTGTCTGCAGGCTCCATAGGAAAGCTTTCCATCTTAGCCGTTGTTGTTCTTGCCATGTTTTATGACTTCGTTCGCCTGTGGGGGTATTTAGTTTTCTGTGTGTGTCTATGCCTTTGAATTCAAACATTGAACAATATGGATTAGACGAAAATTTTGTTCAAGCCATAGAACGGCTCACCTTAATGAATGAGCGGTCACACATTTTTTTTAAAGTAAAGCCAAACGGCTGAGGGCACGCGTCCATGTTTGACAGCGCGGTTTGGTTTTTGGTATTTGAAAGTGTACAGAAGGTAATGTGGATAAAGTGAAACTTTCAGCTTCATCGCACGTGTCGTCTCTATTCACCACATCAGATTAGAGTAAGGGCTCGTTGAAGGTAACCATGAAACCGTATGACAGTTTCTTCTAGTTCCTGAATGCGTGCTCCCACCTCTGCTGGTATCACGGCAGGTGGAATCGGCGTTACACCAAGTTCCTGCTGCTCCAACCGACCGTGTTCAAGATGAGGTGAATGATTTGTGTAAAGGGAATACGAGGTCTCTGGCGGCAATGGTGGGGGGAGCCTTACCGGCTTAGGCTGGTGATTTGCACTGAAGTCACGAGGGTTGACCACAATAGTGGCCTTTTGTGCAGCTTCTCGTGGTTGCACGGCGATGGGGTGTGGGTGTTGCTCTACTGTAATGCTATTTGAGCGTCTTAGCATTACTGACAGGACTGAGTTCGTGGGAATGCGATAGTAATGCAAAGTGGCCTTATCAGACAGTTCCATGTACCGCCATAGCAAGCGCACCTGCTGCGCACTAGGGCTGCCTGTTGCCGTTTTTCTGCCCTCTTTACTACCGTCAGTATGCCTCCGTCTATAAGCTATTTCTTCACAGAGGAGCTTCTTTAGTTCCCATACGGTGTTCGACTCTGGACACGCAACTGGCACGACCTCATGTGTGCTACACAGGTGACAAACCAGGTTAAGCACCGGGCCTCGCTTGATGGAGAACACCAGGCGGACATAGGGGTCACCCTTCAGTAGGAGGCACCCGTTTTCTCGCAGGGTGCGGTCGGGATTGATGGGACGACGGTTGTGCAAAAGTAGCTGAACCTCAGGTTTCACTTTGAAGTAGTCCTCAATAGCTAATTGAAGTACTCGTACGGGTGTGTCAAGGTCGATTTCGGTGTCTAAATACTCTCCGTGCACGTCGAATACACGAACAGGGGTAATATCAGTTAATTGTATGGGTACATACTCAGTGCATCCTGATGGTGGGATGACGTCGTTCATATGGTTGTGGGTACTACTACTACAGTGCTTTTGAGATATGTGAACATAAAATTTTCCCAAACGCAGAGCAGCAACTCTAAACAACTAGACAGAAAAGGATTCGCATCGCCTCTTTTTCTTACACGGCCTAAACCGCTAGGTCAATATGACGCTTGAAAGTGACGCAGTCTTCATCAATGACACATGTGGATAATTTGGTAAATATTAGGAACGCCTTTTTATGCTATAATGCTTTTTTTTGTGTTATTACATCAACACTAAAACATATTAAACAATAATGCAACGACTTTTTTTTGCTTATTTCCGTCTTGTCCTTTAGACATTTCTTTTCTATCCCATTTTCTCTGCTCTACTCCAGGACTCTGACGATTATGGTATTTTTCTAATATTTACCTCTCTAATTAGCAAAGCGACGGGCGCGGGCCTCAAGTATCTCGCTGTCCTTGGCCGACAGCTTCAATTCGATCGGCGCCACGGAAGTGGCCCCAGTGGGTGCAGCGCCAAAGCGCGCCAGGCGGCGTTGCATGGCAAGGTCCATCTCAACCTGCTCCGCCGACTTGAAACGCGACTCACGGCGGTTCAATGTTTCTTCATCAACAACCATCGCAGGGCCACTGACTGCGGTGTAAATAACACCGGGGTCGACCAGAACGCCGAATCGCGCAGCTCTCTTGGCCAGCTCTTCGTGGACGACAGGGAGGGGATCCAGTTTTGCCTCGGCACGCTGCCTCTCGGATTCCGTGAGCCCACACACCAACCTCATAATCCCCTGCTTGGAAACACCACCACCGTGACGGTCAGGTTCTCCCTCCACGCTTTTGCCATTGCGCCACTGGCGCACAGTGACGGTAGATTTGGGTTTGCGGAAGATTCGGTATAGCCGATGGGTATTCTTTGGCTTGAGTGGCGTGTCTTGCTGCTCAACAGCAGGATTGCTAACTTCGGTAGCATCTGCAGGCAACATTTGTTATTTTGCTGTTGTTGAAACTTTCTATAAGGTAATATGCGTATACGAATCCACTTGTCTCAAGAAGGGGACGACTTGAGATTCCCTCATCACAGAAAGGTAAGATAGAACGAGTTGCTGTGCATTGTAGTTGAGATTAATACAGAGGGCTTTCTCTTTGGCTCAAGGAAAATTGGTTCATAAAGTCAAAAAAACTCGACCTCAGTTTGCATTTTGAGATTTTTCTCTTTTTATTATTACCGAGTACTTGTGCTTCAAAAATGGAAACACCTGCTCTTAAGTCGTGGAGGTACTCCCCCCACCACACGCGCGCGATGGACTTCACACATTACAACGCTGCCGGGGCACACGTCAAGCAGTACTGCAGTGACGTCACCAGTGCCTTCTCATCAATGCAATGCTCCATCTCTACGACAGCCTTCAGCTCTCTCACAAATATGAGTGGACGGTCCTTCCCATCAAACTTAGTGGCCGCACCACAGGGCTTGATGCTGCGACATGTCGCATGGACAGCGTCACGTAGGTCAGCATGGCCAAATGGCAAGGCCGATGACGACATGTGGTTAGCATAGGCCTCCAGAAGCTGGAGCACGGCGGACGGCGGTTCTGGTGTTGCCACATCTTTATTCGCGATTTCACGCCGTTGCCTGTCGATGTGCCACTCAACAATCAGCAGTGGCTGAGGGGACTGGAAGAGGTACAGTAACCACTCTGCCAGGTCCTGGAGCTCCGGCTCCTCTGTCGCTTCCGTGGGTATAAAGGGACTCGACCCATAGTCGTTATGATTCGCTGCGCCTGAAGAGAGGCCTGTGAGTGGTTGCACCAGCGGAAGGGCTTGCTGTGTCTTGGAGACGTCATAGTGCGCGTGCTCTAGCTGTATATGGACTATAAGGGGTCCAACAGGGGCTAGCAGGACAGCCTGTGCCACAATGCCCGGACCGTTGCGGTGACCGCAGCTGACGGGCGACCACGGTAGATTTACACGCAGGTTTAGGTAATCGTTATGCATGTGTCCGGCAGCAGAGGATGAGCTTGTGCTGACAGTGGACAGGGAAGTTGACGAGGCAGAGGGCAGCGATTCAACTCGTAGCGGGGGCACCATGGCAATCTGAGGTGGACTCGGGTTGGTATTATAATAGAGACGCCGCTTGTGGGTGGGCGTATCCTGCGCACAATCAACCATTGTGTGTAGCACGGCCTCTTCGTTACTTTGTGCCAGACTAATATCGATCGGGTGCGCGTCACTTGTAATGACTTGAGGTGATGTCAAAGGGGAGCAAATAGAGTAACCGCCTCTGGGGTCCGGTGTGACTATGGGGAATGCGTCAGCTGTGGCATGGTTAACACTTAAGGGGCTGTCGCCTTGGTCGCGCATAGCTGACACCAGGCAGGCTATCCCTTGACCGTATTGCTCGTGGGCACTAAATACTTTACAATGTCTTGTCACGGTAAGCGACGGCACACCACCATCCATCAGGATGGTGTCACTAAGTAGGACAGTGGTGCAACACGGACTCCTCAACGCTGAGGACGTTAGACAATTTGTGTAGGCGTCGTTAAACTGTTGTCTAGGCCTCGTTTGGGGCAAAGGCCTCATCATTTTATTCAAAACGGAGTCCACTTTTCGCAGAAAGCAACTGCTAGACTCATAATCCTCGCTCCCAGGGCTGTCCAGCCAACCAAAGTTGTGACAGTTTAGCAACAGAAGCCGTGAAACTCCGGCCGAAGACAAGCGCGACGACTGTGGATTCGAGGCCGAGGACAAAGGCAAGTTAGACGTGTTCGCGTGACCTTCCTTCACCTCCCTCTGCGCCTTCACCCCCCCTCCCCATTCTTCTTCATTTTCTAAAGGAGAGCTGGAGTGTTGCAGAGTGCTACCGCATGCATTTACGCCTGATACACAACTATTATATGTCGTGCGCATTGCGTGCCGTGGAGGCAAGTACACAGCACCGCGATGATGAGTATTAGCGGGCAGCGACATCTGCCGTTGAGTCATAGCGCCGTTTGCCCTGCAACTTATATAGGATGCCAATACAGATAAAATGCACCCCATCCAGGGCAATTCATCCCCCCCACCACGCGGCACGGCGTACTGTCCATCATCTGTCAGCTTGTGCCGACCATAGGTAAGGAGGAGTTCCAGGGTAAGCATCGAGATGTTTCGCACCGGCTCAAAAAGGTCTTGCAGATTACCACGTGAGTACCAACAGGAGCGCAAAATGTTAAAAGTCTCGTAGACAGCCATGTCCACCGCAGACACTCCACCACCGTTAAAATTCTCACTGCGGGTGGCGACGGAATCTAGGTACATGTGAATCTCCTGCTGGATTGAGTCAAAGGTGGCATGGTCTATGCGACGATACTTGTGTACCTTTGTGTCCTCCCCTTCTCGTCGCCTTATCCTATTCTCAACACGAACATACTGCTTCGGCGGCGAGCGCGCTGCGGAATCGGAAGTGGCTACACAAGAACGTTCATGTGATGATGAAGCACCCGTCACAGTTGCGTTGGTCTGATTTTGTAGTCCCAGTCCTAGAGTCGGAGCAACAAACTGGTCGAACTTCAAATCTTGGAAGGCAGGCCGCTTCATCTCTTGAATACTTCAACACAAATTGGTAGCCTTCAGGTTCTCCACCGGGTCCTAAAATAGGACCGCACACTACCCGTTTGCCCTTCAAGCCTACCAAAGGTGATGAAGCAACGAAAGTCGTCTGGCTAACTAAATGAAAACGAAACAAATACAATACTTTTTAGGTGAAATCACTCTCTGTGGCGAGACGGCATCTAAAAATCTTAGCATCATCATTCAAGGATGTTAGATTACGGTGAAAGGTGAGAAAAGGAAATAGATTAATGAAAGCGAGGTCAAGGACCCGGTTTATATGGGATGTTATTTCATGCGTCACCACGCGCATGACGCCCCTCCCCCCCCCCCCCCATTAAAGCAGAAACCAAAGTATAATATACGTGATCCAAATTTTGTAACCACTCTCCTTCTCCTTAACTAAGGGAATGAATGTGATTTAGTAGGGAAAAACATGTAGAGACAGAATTGGAGTTTGTCGTGACCATGGTAACGTTTAAACGGGAAAACAACACTGGCTAAATCAAAACGTGCCTCTAAATGCAGAAAATGCATTCACGATACAGGCGGGGAATAAGAACTCGAAAAAGGACATAATTCTTTGAAAACAAAAGCATCATCAAGAGACAATAAAAATTGGTACTTTGCTTTGCTTGCAGCAATGAGACTCTCGGCTCACATACCGAAATCGAACTAAAGCACGACAACATATGCGAAGTCCCGCGAAAACAAAGTTTTTGTTTTAAATCTAAGTGTCCCCCCGACGCAGAGCTATGGTGTAACTGAATTCGAGGGGTTGCCCACTTACCGACCATTCCCTCGCATCGTTATTGCTGCATACCTCAGCTCTCCTCCCATATACCCAATCCACCGGCCGCGGATGGGGCCCGATAGTGGGTCCTGCTGGGCATAGCGCATCTATCGGCACCACATCTTACTCAACAGTCCAGTCTCGTATCGTCAACACGACGACTCCGTGGGGCTGTGGGGGTGGATCCATTCGAAGCATTCCTGTACCATCCTTTGTAACGGCACAACAACGGTCAGGTACGGAATCCCCTGCAAGTCCTGACGCCATTTCGGCGTACGAGCCATTGGCGCAGAAACGTTCTTGATGATGATTTTTGGTTAAACTTTGCTGTCGCGGTTCAATCACATCATCATCACAGACCATCTTTGTTGGATCGCTTTCCAAAAGCAACACCTCTTGTTATGATCTCTCCATGTTCAAATCGCTCAATTTGTATGTGGCCAGAGCTTTACTTGTGCGATGTACTCAGATAATGGTGTGCCGTTCGCTACATACAAGAATAAACCAGAGGGTTACATGCTGCTGTTAGAAAAAGGTTGCTAAAAACAATGCCAGAGTACACCACGCTAGGGAGAGAGGCCACAACCGTGTCCACCCCCCCTTCCCGCATGAAACGACCTCAGTGACGCCCAAAACGTCGCGCAGCCCAGCATAACGGAATATATTACGGAAATAGGGGTTACAAATAGACAACGTGCGTCCACCAAATGCTCGACACGCTCTTCGCTGCAGCACCAAAGCCGAAGCAATGTTTCTTCACTGTTGGTGCTATTTTCGTGATCTAATCAGCCCTGTACACGATCAGCTGCTTTCCATATTATGCAGTGGCTGCGATAATGTCTATATATCTGGACCTACAAATATGAATGCATGTGTATTTACTCTTGATCTATGGGGCAGCAATACCGGCAACCAGCCCGGGCGCAATGCTTGCAGTGATTGTTTTTTAGCGCTCTCGAGTCATACCCTCCTTTGGTGTTGATTCCAGAATCGTAAAAATAGAATGCACATGCCTCAGATATAGTGTGAGTGCATGAAGTTGTTTCACCTGGAAGCGAAGAGGGGAAGGAGCGTTGCATTCCTTTCCCTAAGATCGCACAGACGCTTTTCAGAGAAAAGCTCTATGAGCAGCAAAACTCACTTTATCATATGAGGAAAACATGATACTGTAAGTTTCTATTTTAGGATGGTGTGCAACTATACTGCTTGAACCGCAAAACTTAATTGACTGTATAAAAACAAAATCAAGCGATTCAAAATGGCGATTAGACTGGAATGCACAAAGGCAACATAGAGATGCAAATTCAAAGGGCCCAGGAGGAAATGAACCAAGCCATTTTGCTTCAGTTTCACTTTGATTTTCTATTCCTTCCATAGAGTGCATCAACGCTAAATTTATACATAATGTGAGTACAAGGGAAGGGCGTAAAAAAGCCTTTGATCCACCTCAAATGCACACAATTGTCGTATTCCGCTTATCGCTTTCAGTGTTACATTCATTCAATGTTCTTTCATTCTTTTCACTCTGTATATACATCGCTTTGAAATGACAGGAGAAACCTTATGAAATAAATACGATGGCATAAAATCAAGACTCAGATATCTTGGAACCTTTGATCAATAATTCTTTTTTCTAATATTCCATCCCTTCTCGCCCCCCCCCCCCCCCCCCCTGTTCCATAAATATCCGCTTCCACGAGACTTTGCCCCCAGATCAAAGTATTAAACCTGCTGCAAGTGGTAGTTTTCGATCTTCTCTATAAACGTTTGCGCGTATTCCGGTGAGTAGTACTGCACTATCTCCGGCGGGTAGCATGCGTTGATCACTTGAATGGACTCTGCCAGTTGACTGCCTGGCTCTGGCTTGATCCGCTGCACCGTTGCAAGGCCACGGTTAGCCACGAACTCACGCTTGGCCGCAATGTCGGTCGGCAGTACCTTTGCATATTGCCCACATACGTAGGTAAGAATGTTAGCCGGTGCATCCGGGTGCAGCAAGGGCTCCAACAAGGGTAGGTACACACAGTGTTGGATGATATTTTTCAGAGCCCGCTTACTCTTCATGCGCAGATCATCAGAGCTGCTTGGGTTCAGATAGATGTCCATTAGCTTCGGTAGCACGCTGCAATCAGCGACGGCCTTTGCGTGCTCGGCGCTGTGCCGACCCACCTGCCCAAGCGACCACGCAGCCGCAGCTTTGATGTGATCTTCCACTTCTTTCTCGAGTGCATCTGCTAATGGCAAAACACCGTGCGAGACAATCACAGCCAACGCCAGTGTCTCGGAGAAGGCGGAAATGTAGCCAAGGGTGATAATGCCTGGCAGACGCGTACTGGACTTCGTCTCGGCCGTGTAGTCAACCAATGCACCGACGCCACCGGCGTTCACAACCAACTGAGCTAACTCTGGCGTGTGCTTAGCAATTTCACGAATGCATGTAGCTGCATTTTTGCGTACGCCGTCGTCAGTGTCCTTGAGAAGTATGAAAATCTTCGGAAAGATCTCGCCTTCGACGACCAGCTCGGCCAGTTCGACGCTGTGCTTCGCGATATGCGCTAGGCATTGACAAACTTGTCGCTTGAGTTTAGCATCGCTGCTGCTGATAAGGGGGGCAAGATGGGTGACAGCGTCCTGGTCGACCAGCGCTTGCGCCAGCTCCGGTGAATGCTTCGCAATGTCCGAGAGGGTTGAGGCTGCAATCCGTTTTAGCGAGAGCTCCGGCTCTTGTACACACAACACCAGCGGTGGTACCGCGCCTCTGTCTACCACTTCCTGCGCGAGATCCGTATCGTGGCGCGCGACATACCCAAGCGCCCACGCTGCACTCTCCTTGACGGTTGGGTCAAACTCATCCAGACAGCCTATGAGAGCCTCCACGGCTTGGCTTTCCACCACGGCTTGAGCCATTTGAGGTGAATGTCGTGCGACGCTGCGCAACACGAAGGCAGCGGACTTCTTGTAAAAGCGATTCTGATTGCCGAGGGAATATACCAGCTGTGCCAAAATGTCACCTGATACGACATTCGCCGCGAGCTCCTCACTGTAGTTCGCAAGACGTCCGAGGGCCAGTGCAGCGGACTGTTGGATGGATGGCACACTATCCAACAGGAGTGGTCGTAATAGATGCATAACGCCAGCCTGTTGCAGGGCTTCAATGTGCTGTGGCTTGGAGGCAAGATCGGCGACCGTCTGAACGAACTTGACCCTAGATTTTTGGTACTCCTCAAACGTCTGGATTATCTGACGATTGGACATGCTGAGAATTCTTTTTTTTTTGCTATATCCTTTAACCCGATAAGTTCAGATCCCCTTCTTCCGATCACAGGGCGATGCAATTTTTAATATGAGCTTTACTGTTCTGCGTCACTATGAACTTTGGTCCTAAACACAAAAACAAGAAACTACTCTCTGTCTATTATAAAGCCTTTCTAAGCGTGCGTCAACACCCTGAACCCGAACGCAGTTCACTTCTACTCAAGAAGAAAAGAATATCGACGAGTGTAAAACTATTCATACCAAGAACAACAGGCACACAAGAGTAGTCCGATTTACTTCCTCGTAAATGATATTCATATCCGAATCACAAATATTAAGTCGGTGAATCGCATAGTACAAAACAGTATGATGTGCAGTGATTCCCTTTTGTTTTTAACAAATAATTTTTAAGAAGAGTAATAAATAGATCAATAGTAGCAGCAACATGAATGAAACAGACTCCCTCATCCCCCTACAAATCAAAGGGGTTCGATAAAAGCTACCTTCCAATGTACCGTATTTCTCTCTTTCGCTCCATGAGATACAACTGTTCATTCATGTGTGAAAGCTCGACATCATGTTGTATCTGCTGTTCAACAAGTTGCTTCCCTAGTGCAGTAAATTGCCTTCTAACCTCTGCGTGGACCAACTCACCAGTAGGATCTCTAATTAGGGAAGGAGTGAACCCCTGAGTCGTCGATGGCGACGACACCACCGTAGTACGCGGGAGGTTGAAAAAAGGGGTCAGCTGCATTGCCCCTTCTTGACCTCGCCTCACCATTGCGCTTCCGAGGAGCTGCCCCGGCACCGCATCAGTGTGGTCGCCAAGCTGGGAACTTAAAGCATCCCTTTTCTTGTCTTTTGCGCACGGACCTTGATTGCTAATGGAGAGATAACTAACAGAACTCTTTGTCCCGGAGGTGGCTAGGGTAGCAGCCTCATTCTCGCTGCGAATGGGGAGATGCTGCGTAGAGAAATTTGCCGTGTTCCCCACCTTACCCATGACATTAGCGAGGCGGTCTCGCAGCTCCTGATTTTGGCGATATAGAATTCTCATCGTTGCTTCCGCTGTCAGCAGTCTACTCTTCAGCTCCTTAGCTGTAAGGTCGGCGGCTTCCCTTGGGGACGTCATCTTCTTGATTCGGTCGTCGATGTCGATGGATTTGCTGACGTTCAGATTCGCGAATGAAAGCACCGACGGCGATGATTTCCTGGGCGTAGAAGAGAGCACAGGAGATGTGGGGTCGACAGCTTTGCGAAGGGACTCAAAAAGATATAGTGCATGTTGAACCTTATCATTATGAGAATTAACCATGCCAGATGAAACCTTTGTAGGGAAAGACACTAGATCAACGGACCCTTGTATGGCTGCTTCCACATGCACGTGGCGATCATCATTTTCCATTTCAAAGTTAAATCATTCAGGATAAAAGTAAAGAGATCCGTTTGCCTACGAAAAGTGCAATGCAACCTTAAGAGCTCTTGGTCTCTAGAAAGCAAAGTGAAGAGATAGGGAAGGTAAAAAAGCGTAGTGCATCACTGTAGAAATAACAAGATATCGGAAACAGAAGAAATTATAAGTATGAAGCCTTTCCTCTGTTGCTGATTTATCAACGCCAACAAACACATGCGCGCAAACCGAATCGATTAACTGAAAGTTTTTTTAAATCATAACACCACTATTCTTCTTCAATATAAATCCTATAACACACAAACGAATAATAACATTTGAAGTTACGAAGATATGATCATAATACTAATGCTAATATAAACGCAACCTCACGCATATTCAAGAAAAAAAATCTTTACGCCTAAAAAAGTTGCTTCTATTTATTTGTCCTCTTTTTCAAGCCCGACATACGATCTACGTGAGTCTAGTATCTAAAAAAGGAAAAAGAACGCAGCAGTAAAACATACCGCTAAAGTTAACCATCGATGTGAATTAGAAAAAATGCATAAATTACAACTGACTCCGTTTTTTTCTAAGAATCATCACCTTGCTATGCGTGATGCAGGGGAAAAAAGAAATCAAAGGATACACACTTTGAATTAGGAAAAAGTACCTTTGAACCTCTTTCCCATACGTATCAAGAAAACAAAGAGAGGGAATTACGCTGTAAAATAATATTAAAGAAATTCTTTCTAGTGTTCTAGTCTAAACGAAAAGTTGGAAAGCCCAAATGTAAGTGTATTACAGTAATTTCAGAACCTCATTCCCACTTTATGCAGCTTGCATAATACCCCCACTGTCTGTATTCAAACTTAATCAATTTAGGCTTTTGATTGGAACTGTAGTTAGCTTGGAAGGCGATCGCACAAGACGTTCGCGAAGAGGCCAACATACATTCAGAAGAACAAGGCACTATTTACAGTTCGATAAGTGGGGGAAAAACGCCTCATGTACAGTAAATATGAAAGACATGAGACATTTGGGGAAGTGAGGCCAAGTAGTGAAAGAATATAGCATTTGAAAGGTGATTATTGAACTCTAAGGGGCTTGTTTTCCAAGAAAAAATGAGATAATGCGCGCTCTTCTGACCGCGCTGAAATTAGTTCCCGGACCCTTTCGCTTGCGGAAGGGTCTTACATTGCGCAGATCGAGCCTGCTTCCTTGCTGCTTTTTGGCCTTGACGACTGCAGGTGTTGTTGACGGGAGTAGCCCTTGAAGGGGATTCTGGGTGTGGACACAGAGGGAGGTTCTGTGCCGTACGACTGTGTTGCTGCATTGAAAATGACCCAGCTGAATTAGGGGTCCAATCCATATTGCGTTCATTGCTGTTGACGCTCTTATCCATCATCGTGGCTGGTCTTGCTCCTGCATAACGCTGCTGGGCTTTAAGTTTTGCTTCGATTTTGGTCGCAAACGGACTATTAATGAGGGCGGGCTTCAGACGGTCATGTATCCGTTTTAATTCCATCGGCTGTTGGGAGGATTCAATAAGAGACTGCACCACAAAGTTACCAAACCCATCGAAAACCATCTCCTGCAAGGATGCAGGGTTGTAAACAAGCTCGTCTAGCAGCATCCGCCGCACAGCCGGAACGTCACCACAGAAGCGGATCACTTTCTCGACAACATTACTGGCATACTTGTCGCAGCTCATACACAGTAAATGCCCTTCGAAGTAGTTAACAACGTATTGCGCAGCAACCATTTTGTTACTGTGTTCAATGGCACATTGGACGACATAGTTGCCGTAGGGGTCGAGAGCGATATAAGCCAAAGAGGGCAACAACAGTTCCATGATAAGCGCCTTACGGGCATCATCACATACTTCGTATACACGCATCAGGGAGATGCAGCCTTGCTGAGTGGCTGCAAGATATGAGGCATTCCGTGACAAGACCGTCAGAACTGACTGCAAATCCACGCCATTCTGTAAGTGTGTTTGAAAGAGTGACTGTATTGTGCGACGAGTATATTGAGACACGGTGCACATGTTCAAAATGAGTGTTTCGTTGAGGCACCCAATAAGCGCCGTTACTTGCCCCGCGGAGCACTGCTCCACAACGGCCCGCAGTAAGTGGCAGCCGTTGTTGTCAATCGCAATCCTGTTCAAACCGGCTTCACAGAACTCCTTGATGATACAATCCAATACGTTCATATCTTGGCTGCGCAACAAGGCCTGAAGGAAAGTCTTTCCCGATGAAGTGCACGCCATGTCCGCGATGTGACCCACGAAGCGCTGGTAGAACTCCTCCAGAGGGGGGCTCTCGGTCACCATGGAGGCGGGAGCGATCGCGCTGTCTGTTGGGGTGGGTGTCGCGTTCGAGACCGGACCGGTTTCGAGTGTGGACGTCCGCATCGACATAACCGGGACCGCGCCGATGTTGCGGAACACACCACCTTCATCGCCCCTGCGGGCACCTGCCACGAGCGGCGTCGCGTTGGGTATGGTATTGGGGAGCGGGAGGGCAGGAAGTGGGAGGGGCAACGTGGATGGGCATCGCGTCTCAGCATTCGTGCTCATGAAATGATGGTAATATGCCCTATAATACGCGCATGTTGGACAGGGGCATTTTGCACATGAATCCGGCCCATCTTGTGCGGCAGCCGCGGCTGCGGCAAGGGCGGCCATGAGCATCATATGCTGTTGTTGATGTTGGGGGGCGATACAAGGGGCACCACCACCACCACACAGTCCCGGCATAGTTGGGTATTCCTGCGTAGACATCGATTTTTTTGTCGCACAACCAGAGCCCATACCAGCAGACTCGAGGCGCCTTTGTTGCTGCGCGATGACGGCAGCTCCTGGATTGCGTGGAGGGCTGACGTATGTGGCCAGTACTGGAGGAGCGCCGCTCTTTTTGACATCCCCTGTTGAGTCTGAGGCTACTGTGTTCACGTTAACTTCACAAAGGCTCATTTCGTGAGTGAGAAGGTTGTTAAACTAAATGTTGTCGATCGTGTGACGAAAAAATGGGAAAAAAAAGGTATACTTCAACGTATATTTAGAAAGAAACAATTTTGATCTAAAAAGTAGCTTTGTAAAAACTAAGGTGTTAAACAAAAACCGGAAGGAAGATGAGAGAGGAGAGAAAAACACGAACGGGGCAATTCAATAAGGATTTAAGCGGAATGACGATCCCATGATAAATATCCTCGACGTATACAAGAGGGTATAGAGTTAAGGTGATCAAGGGGTGAGTGTCGATTCGATTTTTCCTTCTTTATTAACCATTAACCGCATTCATACCTAACCCACTTTCTTGGAAAGAGGTTGATTTAGAACCCCTTATACTGGCGCCGCCGCTGCCTCGAGTACCGCGTCGCACTCCGCGATCATCGCTTGACACACGTGTGTAGCATCTTCTATAGCAGCCATGCAATCTGCTAAATGGACTCCAAAGAGGTCTTTGGGATAATTTGAGACGTCATTATGAGAGACAGCACCAACGTCCTCTTCATCACCTTCGCGACTTCGCTTTTTGGGGTTGCCTTCTTTCGTTGACGCCGAGTGGGTGATGTCTGTGTTAGTCGCAGACGAGGTTGCGAGCATGTATGCGTTACCCCGACGGGAGGGGTACTGATGATACTGCACGTAGCACAGCTGTCCGTCACGATTGGCCGCCACATGAAGCTGCTGGGGTATCGCAAGCTCCTCACGCGGCAGCGGGTCGACCACGTAGTGCCGCGTGGGGGACAGTAGCAGAACGGCCAGCAATGGTAGCGACATCCAATTGACCGGTCGCCCGTAGGGCTTGCTGTGATCAAGCTCTACCGTCACTTGAGATGAGGTAACTTGGTGCAGGTTTACATAAGGGAGCTTAATCTTACACAGTGCGCTGTGCACGGCAACAACGATGGCGGAAAGCACATTACCACCCGCTGCTTGCAACACATGCACATCGACATCAATGCGAAAGGCGTACCCCTTTCCAATATAAAGATCCTTTGCCGGGAAGCCACAGTTTACGTTGCGGCCGCCATTCGCGCTCCGCTCCGCGGTAGCGGTTTGCGGCGGCACGTCACTTGGTCCTTCCTCATCGCCTGCTTCGACTTCGTCTCCTCCGTTGCTACCGATTTCGGCAAGCTTATTGTCTCCTGCTGGCTTAGCCTCAGCCACCCCTCCTTGTTCTTGTGCCTGCACACTCTCTGCACCAAACACGTTTTGAATAGTAAGTGCCATGTGCGATAGAAAGTCCCTACGGTGACTCGCGCTGTTGCTACTGCTTATTGCGTACGCATAAAAATTGAGCACAGAAGGCACAGCATCAATACTAATGTAAAGTTGTCCATAACCTTGTGAAGATGGCCTTTTCTCATCGAATTCTTTTTCTGTCTCGTCCGTACAGACTTCTACAACGGAGGGGCTTGCTGCCGCCAGCACGATTGTGCCGCTTAGATCTACCTCGACACTGCTGCCGTTAAACTCCTCAAAGCCTATCGAGGCGTCAAGGGTGCCGGTAGAAATTTCTACCTGGCGCCGCTGCAAAAGTGTACGCCCGTCCTCACGCACGTCGTTGAGCACACCATCTTGGACAGTGCGTATTTCTGTATCACTGATGCAAGCACTAACCATAATTTCAAAGTATACAATAAAATAAATATATACTTATATACGTTCTTGCAGGAAAAAAATGGTTGGGCTATCCTTTTGTATATTCCCTTGAGCTACTATAACAGAAAAAGTACCAGAGCACTTGGAAAAGTGAATCAAGACTACTACAAAAATTCCGAAGACGTTTGATGATTTTTTATATCTCCTAGTCCTGAAGGGCATATCTAAAAAAAGAAACATGGATTTTCCATCCAATTCGATTTTCCACGCCTGTGCCAGCCTGTGGGGGCGGAGCCGGGCTGAGGACAAGCTCCCTCCCCCCTCCTAAAAAAAACACATAATCGCTAAATCCAACTGGATATCTTTCGCGTACCACACAAAGACAACGAATTTAACACAGAAAATTCTATTTTCCCCTTGATAGCATATTTTTCAATCCTTTCTGAAATACCGTAACAATTTCTACAAATATATCATTATTTTGGAAGTAGAATGGAAAAGATTTCCTTTTTTTCTTCCACACATAGAGCCGTAATTTCTGTTAGCATGCCTATTTCCCCCCTGCTCGAGTTAAAGGCATTTTTCCCTGTTAAAGAAAACTCCCTTACATTTATTAACAACCAGCTCTCTGTAGTGCGTTCAGCTTCTCGCCGATGCCATAAGCTACCGCCTTAACATTCGATCGAACGCGCACAACTCCGCTGATCATACCGTTTGGTTCGTGCTCTATACTGACGTTAACTAGTGCATCCTCATCAAAGATAGTCCGCGCGTAGAAATTACAAGACATGTACTCATGAGACTTTGCGTCATCTTCGTTAGAGGATGATGCGAATTGCTTTTCGCCATTATACCCCTCGAGATTGTCATCTAGAAGCTGCATGTTAAGTTCGTTTACTATGAAGTCGATATAATCACATATCTGGCGCTTGCTGGTAACAATCTCAACCTTGTTTTCCCAGTCAAAAACACCCCATTTTGATCGAAATTCTGATAGCTGGCAATATGCCGGTTTAACATAATTCATGATGTTGACGTGGATATCATTCAATATGATGCAGCCATTCCGGTGCTGGGGACTGTCGAAAAAGATGTTGCCGTATAGAACACCCGACTCGGCAGCTCCTACCTTCAGCGCGGTGCGCGTCTGAAGTGAGCCGTATGGAGCAAGGACGTAGCTCTGTGGCCTCTCCACTAGTCTCATTCCACAGAGAGAGGTGAGTTCGATGGTCACGTTACTCAGCAATTGATCGCAGCGGTTGACAAGCAACCAGTTCACCATAATATCAATCTGGTGCACCTCGATGCTGGCCTCACAGTAGATGGGGTCACAGAAGCCAGACAGAGTGATAGTTTCTTCGATCCGCTGGAGAAATGGCTTATTACTGAATTGATCCGCATTACTGTCCCAGTCTAGAGACATTGCACCATCGCATTCAGGCCCCATCACACTGTCGGCAGCCTCCATCGTGCACATCGCATCCTTCCCACCACTCCCCCCCTCCGTAATTTGTGTGAAAAACAAGGGGGCGTCTACAGGACAGAGTGGTAAGTTATTCTTGTGGTTGAAACCATCACTTCCACCGTACAGTTTTTGGTCGTCCTTGGTCTTTCCGAACCCTTGATAAGGCCTTACCGACCCTTCGCTCGAATTCTGATGGATGTCCACCAAAAAGTCTGCCAAGGGGTTCGCCAGTAACAGTAGCGAGAGATGCAAGCGTTCTTGGCAGTCGTCCTCCATAAAACTAAGTGTACCCTCATCAGTGCCGTAACGTAGGATCTCGTTGAGTAACTCGATAGCATTCGATTGCATCTCTTTGTTAACATCCACTTCCTCGGGAAATTTAATGAAGAGGCGCGTGACAAGCTTAGGTAGCACATCCGCAAGTGTCGAGGCTAGAAAGTAATCACCATGTACGATGACGCTCCGCAGTTTAGTAGACTCGTCCTGTTCGTCAGAAATGTCTGCGCCACTGCCACTAACCCCTGCGTTAGCTGGAGTAGTGGTGTATGCAGTCATGTAGGTGCCATCCTCACGTACGGTTGTCATGGCCCGAACTTTTGCGCAGTCTTTGTCGGCATGACCGCTGCTGTTTAAAGCTTCAACTGTGCATCCTATCGACGTTGTTGTTTTAGGCAGGGTTAGGGGGAGTGAGCCCATTTCTTCCATTATGAGATTTAGTACTTTGAGTATTTCAGATCTGCTCTCTGCGTGGTTGCTGAGTAGCAACAATACACACCGCATCACGCCAGACAAGGTAATTGAGGGAAATACTTCAATAAGCTTTTCTACTGTTGAGGCTCGCATCTCTGGGTGATCCTGAAGCATCACTTTGATGAGATTCACAACCTCACCAGCAGCAGAGGTGTCGTCACTCACAAAATCCAACAGAACAGGAAGAACACTTGCAGCAGCCTTCGGACAATGTAGTAGAGCAATACCTATAGACTTGATGACTATCTGCCGATAGTCAAGGTCAACAGCTGTTCTGAACGCATCGGATTCATTTTGTGTACACAACAATTCTTTCTTCATGGCTTGAATAAAAAAATCGATGTTTTTGTTCGTTATAAGCCCGACCGCCAGGTTGATAATGCGTTTGCGTACAGGTATCAAACTATCCTGCAAAGCGCTCAACAGATCCATAAGGGAGTCTTGAAGGCCTTCGAGAAATCGACCGCGCATCAACTCGAGCTGCTGAACTACGATCAGCCGGACACTGTTGTCCGAGTGCGATTTGAGTATGTCGATATACGTCTGTGTGGCCTGTCTAATTGCAGTAGGTGAAGCAGAGAGATTTAGCAAGGTCGCAGCACACTGAAAGCGCACCGCCGGGGCTTTGTCCTGCAACACTGAAAACAAAATGGAGACATACTTAGCACGGTCATATGGATTTTGTCGTATCATCTGACCACAGAAGTCCACCACAGACATCAGGAAGCAGCTGCCAGCTTCGGACATATTATTCGTGTCCTTGAACTCAATCAAAAAACGGGCGGCTCGCTCCGGTGTGAATACAGCGAGCATGTCAAAAGCATTTCGCCGTGCTGTGACGTCGGTTTCATTGCCAATGAAGGTCTCGACCAAATCCGGTGCATCCGGCAGCAAATCTGGGAACTTTTTGAAGATGGAGTGAACTGCCAGCACTGCGTTACGACGAACATAGGCCACGCGATGGGTCAAATTTTGAACAACGGCCGAGACCAGAGGCTCCACGAGATCCTGCTCCTCAATCTTACACAGAAAGCGCAAAGTCAGCCCCCGCACATACTCATTCGGGTGCTGCAGGTCGTTACGTAAGAAGGAGCAAATTAGTATAATAACATTGAGTAGGTTCCCATCTTTGTCCCTCTTATCAATGACTTCCCAGAAGTACAAAACAAGCTTCTTAATGAGATGATCGTCAACCGGAACCGCGTACTTAATGACGGTCATGATCATTGAGTTTTGAGGCTCACCATTGACATGTAGACGGATTAGCTGCTTAAGGGCGTCGACCTTGCTGCTGGTGCTGCCCTTCTCTAAGGCTTCTTTTATGGCGTTACTAGTCACTTTGGCGGTGTCAGCCATACCAAGCAGCAATGTGCTGTTAGCCTCCTGACAGGATCTGACAGCTTCTACGTTCATCATTTTAATCAACGTAACTTGAAATGGGTAAACAAAGAAGTCGAACGTTAGAAATCACCGCAACACAAACGCACAAGAAGATTATAATACACTTTTGTACGTT